AAGATCCTTCATGGTCTTTTATTTTTCGTCACAATGCCCTTAATGACGTTGTCACGATCACTCGGACACACTTTCGTCCGCGCTGCGATTTAGCAGATGATGTTTTTCCGCTTTTCAAATAGCGGAAAATCTTCGTACAGTACTCTTGAAACACTAAACACCTCGGCTACCTTGCTTACGGAAGCACCTACCATACGTGCTCCAACAATTCCACGTTCGAAGTCTTAACTCTGACATAATGCAATGACAACCTCACATAACAGTACTCCGATAAACAACTGAACTGTTTAGCACATTTACGAAGTTGTATAGGTGGCGTCAGTAGTCTAAAACGCCAGCGCCACCTACATATTTCATTAAAATCAATCTTTCTTTTCAAACATGCATTTCACAAGGTGTTTCCATATTTTTGTCCATCCACTGTAGATTATAATTTTAACAAAGCCCTATTTGAAGCTACAACACACTTGGGTCATTTAGCTTCTGCACTTACCAAACGTAACGTCGAGCGTTTAAGCCCTCTGCTCCGATGGATGGCTGTTTGCAGCCAGCGGTAGTACAGCGGCTAATGTTCTATACTAAGTGGTGGTAGAGATTATATATCTTTATTTTAATCTACATCTTTTGCCGTACAATTTCCATTAACCACATGGTCTGAATAAGTACGTAACGAAGCAAGACATTAGGAAAGAAACTGGCATAAGGCCTAGAGGTACTAAAATTGAAATCATAAATATCATAAGCTCTGTAATAATTGAGCGTTTTCCTAGCATAAATTAGAAATATTTTGCAGCAATGTATTAGATTTCGTATGAAGTTTAAATCTTTTCAGTTTCAATAACTTTTGTATTTTGGAATGGTGTATTCTGCATGTCTTAAGAAAAATTCGAGAAATAATTTCGAAAATAAAAAAGGGCAGATTATCCATATTAAAACCTTTAATGTTTATTTTCCTGCGTAAACACAAAATCCTAAAAATCACATTTCAAGAGATTTTAGTTTCATAAAATGTATGACGAGTAATTTCCATTTTATAGTATTTCACAAAAACTTTTTGGATATTATCCATTTGTAGTAACTCTCTGACATTTAGATATATCATCTCTTTTCCATTATTAATTTTACAAGACAATGTATTTTCGGGTTTTGTGTTTGGTTACTTTGACTGTGCAACTTTCAGTAAATGCGAAAATAATCTAATCAGTTACGTTGCATAATTTATTACATTTATTTATTACAAGTTTGGAAATTCAAGAATTCACTTCCCTATTATATTCCACCTGTTCCTAATACACTTCTTAAAGCTGCTGCAGGAAAAACGTCTATGAGAAGTGTTCCCATCTCTGACTATAAAATTCTTGGGGAATAAGTTAGAGAAAAAGATGGTTTTTCTTTTGGAATTTTTATTTAGAATTCTTTATATAGTTCTTGAAAATGTTGCACGCAGAACTGAGCACAAGATATTGCAAGAAACACTGAAAAAAAATATTCACAGCATTTCATTCATGCACACAAAATATCGAACTCATACCCAGGTGTATTTCTCCCGCCTTCTTAGCATGCTTTCGTGGTGCAGTAGTCAGCACGCTCGACGCGAATTCGAGAGGTCCGTGGTTAGAGTCCCGGCGAGAGCATTGCTCATTTTTCATATCTTTTGCTTTCAAAAAAATCTTAATGAACATTGTGTTACACAAGATCTCAAATACTGCTGACTATTTAGAGATGCAGCTCATCAGTAAATTAAATCAAGCTATACAGCTAGACGAGATTAGAAGATCCTACAACATAGCAGCCAACTCTGAAATCTGCAAAAATCGAGAAATTTTTGTGAGAAGTTTTTCATGTTATGTCGGGATGCCATTTCAGAGCAGCTCCAAAGTGACAGTCATTTTATAATGCATGATTCAGCTTACTGGACTATTTGTAGTACAATTCTGATACCAAATATGTTAGTATTTCATTAGATATTTTAAATTTTATGGTCTTTGGCTAATTTTATTTCGTAATTTTCTTACTTTTATGCTCAGAAAATCCTGAATAGGGAAGAGAAACTTTTATTTATCGAAGTACTTTTAAATAAGATCAAAATTAAATTAATAATTAGTATATATAACATTTATCTGGATGAACTTAGTAATATACTATATAATGAATAAAAGATATACAAATATTAACTGATTAAACATTGACATATCTACAAATATACAGTTCAGATAAAATAAAATTTAAATTTAATTCAATAAGTATAAAAAAAGCAAACGGGAATATATAAAGCAACAACACAACAAAAAAAAAAAAAAAAAAAAAAAAAAAAAAAATCTGAAAACTTTAGATTTTATATTCTAAAGAGGCCCTTTTTTTTTTTTTTTAACGTTTCTTGTGTTACCTTTATTTATTAAATATTGTGTTCTTCTCACTTATACTGCATAAAATTTAATTCAACAGCAATATCACAAAATATTTAAAAACAGCATATGTTTAGAATTTCCGATTGACAGTCTCACGCACTGGAGATAAAAAAAAAGGTATTTGGTGGCAGCAATTTGAAAAGTAATTCAGCCTTTTACACTGTGATTCAACACAAAATCCTGTTTCGAGATTAATAGCCTTTCTGAGCTAATGCTCCTTTGGGGTAAAAAATGCCGAACTTCCTTTCTTAAAATACACATTTAGTTAAAATTTTTAGTCCAAAGGGGCTTTGTCCCTGAAGTTTGTTTTCGTTTTTGCATTGGTTCACTATAAATGTCCGTTTCACTTTTCAAACTGTTGCCGCCAAATGTTAGAGTCCTCCATTATATTTGAAGAAATTAAATAATGAAATGTATGTTATACATACAGATTTACATTAACTAAATATATATTTCTCGCATTGTGGTAAAACAACGGTACATAGAGCCATCGAATTTTGAATGACGTAATCCTAGTGCGAATAAGGGTATGTGGAAGCCTAAATTTGAAATTTGTTTTATTATCAATTTCATATTTTGTAAAACAAATTTTTTATTAACAAACTCAAGGATTTCAAAGCAAGCAAAGGTAATGTTGTACAGAAAAACATTATCTCCAGCCTGAGACTCTGTATCATAAATTCTAAAGGGATATGCTCAATTTAAAACTATTTTGGGATATTGCTCTTGAACTGAATTTTATGGTTTAAGTGCAAAGAATGTGATATTTAATAAATAAAGGTAACAGACAAAGGTAAAAAAAAAAAAAAAAAAAAAAAAAAAAGTAACTTTGGACGTAATTTAAAATCTGAAATTCAATTTTTTTTAAACCTTTTATTTATATGGTTTTATTATAAAGTTCTCTCTAAAATAAATGTTTCTGTATAGTCACACTCGTAGAAAAGTTCAATGCATTAGAATATTATTGATGGTGCAATTGGCAAGCATTTTCCAAGCGTATTTTTCTCAGGGCCAGAATTCATTTACAGTTAGTTGAAACAAACTGTCAAGAAGTATTCAAATGTTATAAAAACTATACTGGCAAACAAATCCAAAAGCATGCTATTTGAGATTTTTAAATTGCAAGAAACAAGCATAAGCCTAATTATCTTTCATGTCAAGGAAGCCAGTCAGTGGTCAAACAGTAAAGTCACTGAAGACTGGAAGTTGCCATATAATCAACCGAACCCACTGAAACATGTGTTTTCTGCAAATATTATGAACAATTCGGGCACATTTGGATGCTGTAGTACACCTCTCAGTCGATTTCTCACCATTTCTTGCCTGATGATGATGAAGGAACTAGTTTCACAAAAGTTGGAGTTGTAAGCATTCATTCTGTGATCCGGCATTCATCTATTGGAAATGAATTCCTAATATTCTGCACCACACCTTTGTGATTACCAATTTCAGCTCCATACATTAGATGCATGTGTACCTCCTAGGCATTTGTAAAGTCTCCCAACACAAACAGTAGTATAATCACAAACAGCAAATTTTTGGCATAATGCCACCTTTCTCCTGGCACAAATACAAGCTAATCATTCCATTAACATTAATGAGCACATACTATTACAGTCGACGAGACACAAACAATTTAGGATCCCTTTCATGTGTTTGTGTCTCAACATTTCACTTGCACCCATACATTCCCTATATGAAAGTCTGTTATAATGTTCTTTACACCCCTTTAAGTTTGTCCCAAGACTTCTGAATCACCTTGTATATATAGTTTGACTCCCATCTCCTGGTGTCATATACACTGGCTTAGCACTATATTATGACAGTATCGGCACAGTTTCCTACTGCAAGAAAGTGCAGCCTATGCTGTACCAGATGATAGTGGTTTCAGCCGTGACCTTCGAGAGGGAGAAGGCCATGACACATCATAAACAAGGCGGAGCTTTCCGTCTGATTTTATCGGCGGAAAGTCATCTCGATTTTTAAATTTTCCTCGGAAATATAACTTTGTCATGTTGCTCAGTTAATTAAAATAGGCTTTATATACATTATTTTCCTCTTTTAGGCTTTTTACAGATATTTTTAATTAACTTAGTGCATAAATTTAATTGAAAGAAACGAAGAACAAATGAACATTTTATAAAAATTTAAACGCTGATTGAAAATTGCCACTGTCATGATAAATTGAGAAGTTCTTAAGATAATAATTAATGTTTTACCTAGGCTCAAGTATTAATTTATTCACGTTTCAGAACAAAATATATGACCATCAACTTCTATATCTCTAACATACGTAAATGAAATACTATATAAATTAGCTAATAAATGTGATGTGAAAATGTTGCTAACCATTGGCAATTCAACCTGGATTCAATTCCAAGCAAATAGGCTGGCTGTGTGGACGGTTTTCTCCATACATAATATGAATATGAACCAGTTTCCCTCAGAAAGTAATCTACGAAGGCATACCTTCCCTTACGCCACCGCACGTTTTGCCATCATTATTTAACCAAACCATAAAAATCTAAACTTTAAGATTTAAATGTTATTCTAATTAAAAAGTATGTTAATAGCAAAGATACATTCAAAACATACAGAATAATAAACTTTATTTAAGTTAAAACATATATATTTGTGGTTTCTTATTACAATTTAATGAACCCAAAGCCATATCTTCATTGTGTAGAGCAATGGGGGATTTACAATAGCTTGTCTAAGAATGCTATAGACTCTTTTTTAACTTCAGTAATTCATGATACTCATGCAAAAATTGCCATGCTCAAATGATATTTTTACATTTTCATAAAAATAATAAATTTTAACCAAATTGTAAAGACGAAAAATAATAGAAACTTTTAATGCTTTATTGAATGGTCACAATAACAAGACAGCAGCATAATGCATTTTTTTATGAACACAGTCCTTGGAATGAAATTTATTGGATTGTGATGAACATTCAGTATAAAATTTCTTCCAGCTTCTTATGCTCTTGTATATTTTCCCCATATATGAAGCATAAAAACAGATGCAATGAACAGCAAGCTCATGACCAAAACAGGTACAGGACCACTGAAAATGAAAAAGAAACCTTACTTATCTTCAAAAAAATTAACTACAATATTATATTCAATTGTAATTACAAGCAGTTTTTTAATATAAACACAACGTTTAATTATTGATCAAATAAATGTGATATGTATATTAACTAAGAAATGTAAATACTTTTGTAAATTTTTCTTACCCTTAAGCTTTAAGTAATATATTAGGTTTTAACAAAAGTTTCCCACCCTGCAAATATAGTCTGCACAAACAGTTTGTGTTGCTGTGTTTAATAATATTTTGTTAAACAATTTTTGGCATTTGAAAGAAAGACTGTGTTGTGAAATCTGTAAACAAATATTATCATTATATACAAGGTGTCTGAAATGGAACTTTTCATGCTAGCAGATTAGAACCATCATTTACTTCCAGTTCTGTTCCAAAAAGTCAGCTACAGAATGTCATTAAATCATGTGTACAGCTTTAAATACTAATGTTGTATCATATGACACTGTGAAGGCTTGGTAACGAAAGTTCAAAAACAAGGACTGTGACATTCCAGAAGCAGAGTACTCTGGCTTGCCTACTGATGTTGCCTGTGAGAACTTGTGGAAGAAGATCAGTATGCAATCACTCGAGAGTTTGCTAGCTTAGACATTAGTGCCATGTCCATGAACTGAACCAGTAAGGTGTACTGAGAGAAGGTAGTCCATGTTGACTGTGCTATCAAGGAAAAACATCGGACTGAGTTTCGGCACAAAAAGATAAAGTTCCATAAAGAACATAATGCATCTAATACTTTAGGTTCGAAACAAACTTTTATCTCAGTTTATCAAAAAGATGCAAAGTAAATAAAATAAACCTTTTTTCCTCTTTTTGTTCAAAAACGGTTCTTCAAGGCACATCACATGCAGTTTATCTCCTATTTTCCAAATTATGCTCTGATTTTATACAAATATTAAAAATATGCCAAATTTTACATTAAATAAAAGAAGCAATAAAATATTATCAAAACTAAATAAAAAAATAAAAATTTAACCCCTGCTATTCTCATTAGGATTAATGTCACTTGCTTACTTTAAATGCAAGGCTAGTCAGAACAGCTACATATGTATGATTTTGCATCAAGTGATGACAGGATTATGATACCGTGCCATTAGGAAGTAAAGTCTTCAAACTGACGAACAGTATACAATTAACAATCAGACTCGCTTAGCTATCCCAAACTGTTTCTCATTTCTAATGCTTCCAGTCTTTTTTTATGTTGCTGCATATTAGTGCTACTTCAAATTCTGCCAAGATTTTCCTTTCATGATGCTTCCCCATGGCATGTAGTCACTTCTCCCCCTCCCAATTTTTCTACAGTTGACAGCAACAAATGTTGTATTAAAATCATGTCTCGTCAGTCTCATGACCTCAGAATCATTCTTGGCAATGATTAGTTGCAGCAAATGTTCCTTTTGCATATTCAGCACCATCCTGGCTTATAAGATTGGAAACATGATTATTTGAAAAGGAAAAAGTGTCAAATTTAAAATGCTAGTCATGATTTCTTTAAACAATATTTAGTAATACACTATTTTTATTTAAATCAAGCTACCATACTTCTATATATATATTCTAGAAACCATTAAGTAATTTCCAAAAATATAAATTATAAAAAGCTTTGCAATTAAATGCAATTAAAAACAAAAAGTTCTGCAAATTTTACAAGAATTGTATATTTATTACCAATGTTTATATAAGTCATAGACTTTTAAATACTAAAAGCTTCTAAAAATCAAACCTTAGTAAAATTCCCAAAACTGATATGGCATGCTTCTTTCTGATGACACTACCTTTTTATTTTACATAAATGTTATAATCAATTCATTCACTATGTCAACTGACTTCAAGACTTTAAGATGAGTCAAATGTGCATAAAATATAAATAAAGTCAATATTATCATTTTGCCATTCTTCTCTACTTTTTTATTCTTCCACATATTTCACATTTACATTTCAAGTTATTAATTTGTGAAGTAAATTCAAATTCCACAGTCACAGGACTAAATATCTAAATAAGTAATCTTCTGGCTGAAAAAGTCATCATTCAATATATGGAAAGGCTTAATAAAAGGATTAAAGGGTTTTAAAAATCAAGTATGCTTACACTTTAATTCCTGGTGAATCATCAGTATAAAACCTCCACATTCCACCACTGTTTGCACCAGATGTTCTAGTTCTGCTGCTGGCACTCGCACCACCAGTTTTCCTTTATAAATACATAAAAGTAAAGGTAAACACACCAAAATCATGGTTAACTAGCAAAATATCCAGATATATTCATTAGAAATAAATCGGTACTTAAAGAGGATAGTTTTTCTTATTTTTGGAATATTTTTCAATCTTTTGCCAAAGAATTGTTATAGAATTAAGAGTGGCACAGTTAAAAAATGAAGGCAAATATAAAAAGAAAACAATGCTACAACAACCTGCCAACAACGTTTGAAAAATTGAGGCTCGAGTTCTAGTTTTTGTTCCAAATATCATCACGTTACTGTTTTTTGCCATATTTCACCATTTTCATTAATACGATGGACTACATAATTTGAAAATTACCTAATAACAAAGAGAACAGGATAAAGGAATAATTCACAGCAATTGACTTTGTTCTCAATACCATTTGATGAAGTTAACTTTTGACTCAAACAAAGCTCTTGTATGGCGTTGTTATGCATGTTCGCGTTGTGAAAAAAAAGGGAGTGAGAACCAAAACATGGTTTGAAGTCTCGCATCTTGCTTCAATGACGATTTAATTTTATTCTTTCCTCAATGTTGTTCATTTTATCTATCTGTGGAATCAAGAATTGATGCCGATTGAATTTTTCTAACCTCAATTAGAAATCGGCCATGATACGAAAGCAAAATTAAAATAAGGTAATACTTGAGGGAGGTATGTGCAGTTTGATGTCTTGTAAAAGAAATAAAAAACGGTGGAGCCAATAAAATCTTAGAAAAAAGAAGATTGCATATACTCTTCCAGAGCGATAGTTATTCAGGATTTATCCTGGGAAGGCAAAGAATGTTTTCTGGTTGTTGTTTGTAATTGTTGGGCTATAAATATTGATGACTGCCATTCAGAAAAATATCATGGATGGCAGCACTATATTTTCAGACTGCTGGAAAGGATACAAGAAACAGGAATTAAGGAATGCTGGTTATGAACATTTCACTATGAATCACAGTTATAATTTTATAGACTCCAAACTGTGGGGCAGAGCTAAATGGAGTAATAAAATAAGCAGGGCACTGCTTGTCACCATTTAGAGTCATATTTGATAGCATTTATGTGACATCGGTTATATTCAAAAATCAAAATTTTTTCTGTAATGTTGAATGATATTTGTAATTTTATGCCATCTGTTCAGATTTATTTTTTTTTTTATTTATGTGTAGAATATTCTAGATTAATAAATTAAAGAAAAATTTACTTTAAGAATTATGAAATTAAAAAAATTACTTTTTACAGAACTAATTTTTTTTAGTCTTTTGAATTATTATTTCATACTTGGCAACAATTGGTGGCAAAAAAAGAAAGTAGTGCATTTTTAACTGATGCCGCTATAACGGAATTCTACCCTAAATATATTTGTTAAAGAGTGTGCCGTTAAAGACAATCTCTGAAATACATTAGTGAAATTCACTGAAAAAGGTAAAAATATATTGTTAAAGAAATAATAAATATTCATATTCAACTATTTTTTCCAAAAAGAAAGGAATCTATGAACCAAATGAACATAATTTCATTTTGAAAAAGTGAATATCTGAAAGGATCTGAAGCATTATCTGAAAAGGAAAAGCTGATTAAATATAATTAAACTAGGAATAATTTATTTACTGGTAAGTTTTACTCATTAAATATGAATGAATTCCTATATACAATTTTTCATCTCCAGTACATTTGACATACAAATATGAAGTAAAGGAAACAAAAGGCAGCATTTTACAGAAATAATCAAGTTTCAAAATTTAACATAAGTCTTCATGTTAGATTACCAGTATAGCAAAAGACCATCCTATAACATGACGCTGAAGTTGAATATAGTTTTTGGATAAGACACACAACGAAATGGAGACAATGCATGAAAAAATCATAACCTGACAGGAAAATTTAAAAACATACCTTTGTTTTACAGTAGACCCAGAGCCAGCTCGGGGTGCCATTGATTTTGGCGATCTACTACCAGCACCAACTGATGTTGCACTTGAAGGGGCAGGCTAAAAAAGCAACCAAAAATTCATGTTGAAAGGAATATTTAGATATGGATTCTGCTGGCCATATTTTAATGAGTAAAAATATGGCAAAAAAGCAATAATACTTGCGTATTAGCACAACCGCCTTAGTAGAAGCGGCCAAATTTTCAGACCATGCCAAACTATGGTAACTACGCAGGTAACAGTTCATCAACGTCAGCATGAAAACAGCTATTTTTTATTCATTCTTTTTACTATATCTGAATGGCTTTTAGAGAAAAACTGATATATTTAAAATTAATTTTAAAATATTCGCTTACAGGATCTGCATTGCATGAAAAGTTTCAGTAATATTTCACAAAATCACTGTGGGTAACAACTGCAAATATTTTAATGGATATTCTCCCCCTCCTTGCATTTTTGAAGCTATTACAAAAACATGATCTACACTGTAATGAGTGAGTAAATATTTCAACCTAACAAAATTAGCCTCGGCAACATGTTAACACCCTTCTATTACACTGTAGGATTCAAAACTTCGCAGAATGAGTGTATAAATTTTTTTTTTTTTTTTGCAGTAGTGAGAGTAAAAAATATTTTTTGTTATTACATTCTCCCCCTTCTCTAAAAGTGGTTTGTCCCAAATCACATGGTCTAAAGCTCGCAGCAACTGCATTTTTTGTAGGTAGGTGCATTCAGTAACCGGCGATAGAAAGAAATGGTGTCAGCTGAGCTAAGAATCAATATCAAATTTTGTATTCACTTGAGAAAGAGTGCTACTGAGATTTTTCAAATGTTGAAGCATGTGCATGGAAGTGAAACGTTATCGAGAACGCAAGCTCTTGAGTTGCATCGTCGTTTCAGAGAAAGCAGGGAAAGTGCCGAAGACGACGAATGCTGCAGCTGTCCCGTGACTTTGCGCACCAATGAAAACATCAGAAAGGTGTCCGCGGCAGTACGTGCGAACAGGCAGCAAAAAAATTGTCAAATAGCAGAATCAGTTGGGATATCAAAGGCCACAACATCAGCAGATACTGACTAGGGATCTTAACGTACAAAGGGTGTGTCAACACATCGTTCCTCGTATGTTAAACGTAAATCAAAAGGGAGTTCAAATGGAAATAAATGGCAGTAGACTTAATCTTGGCTTTTCACAAAGATCCTTCCCTACTTAGCAGAATTGTTACTGGGAACGAAAAATGGTGTTTTTTGTAAGACCCGTAAACCAAGAGAGCATTTGGCAAAGTGGAAATCATTCCTATTTCGACGGAAGCAGAAATTCCACCAAGATCACTCTAAAGGAAAGGTCATGCTAGAGGTATTCTTCAATAGTCAGGGCATTGTGCATCTGATATTTATCCCTGAAGGACGCATATGTTGAAATTCTGCGTCATTTGCGAGAGTCAATCCGGAAGAAGAGACCAAAAATGTGGGCTGAGCAGTCATGAGCACTGTGGCATGACAACGCTCCTGCTCCAGATTACGTGTCAGACGTACTTTCTATTACACCAAGAAACCGTGCAGAAAGAAAATGCGTTACATATTTCACCTTTTGAAGGGCAACTGTGGATGAGGGATGCCAGTCATAAATACTCATTAATGACTTTCTTGAGAAAATGAAAACTGTTTTGCCTCATCATCCTTATTCACCTGATCTCGTACCCTGCGATTCCTTTCCATTTCCTAAACTAGCAAGATGCTTGCAGGGTCATCAGTTTCAATCTTCAGGTAAAGTTAAATGTGCATGGCAGGCAGAATTAAAGGACATGGCCAAAAATGAATTCCAGACATGGTTCGATGAACTTTACAGGCACTGGCAAAAGTGTGTTGTTGCACAAGGATCTTATTTCAAAGGAGGATGCGTTTCTGCAATTTAATTAATAATATTTTTTACGTTATACACTCAGTCTGGGAACTTTTGAATCCTACCTCGTATATCTGCATCTTTTAAAAGTAATTTTTACATACAATTTAAGGGGAAGAATCTCAATCTTGCTAAGCACAATGTCACATGAAATTACAGTGAAACCTCTCAGACTTTACTTTTTTCCACAGAGGTGGTTGCTTTAGAAAGGTGAGGATACGAGACATAGCCAAACTACAGGTGTTTGGCTTCTTAAATGAACTCACTCTGTAACAAACAATCAAATTTTTTAAATAATATTTGGTACAGATACCATGCAAGCACATGCATTTTTAACAGTTAATTCAATTTTCTGAATTGTGTAACGTGCATAATTTTAAATAATTTTAACTTGCATCCCTTCACCTGATCATCAAAGAAAACAATAGGCACACAATTCTGATTTTACGACTTTTTACAGTGACAAAGCTTTTTTCAAGATAATGGTAATCGAGATGGCAGGAAAAACGCATCCAAAACATGTTACATTGATAATATAGCTTGCACTTTACCTAAGGGCATAATGGATTTGACAATTGAGTCTAATGCCAATAGGATGTCTCTTCAGACAAATCCTACTTTTGCTTTCAGCATCACAATAGTTGTATCCATGCATGAAATGTCAAGGGGAATGAACAAAAGAAGCTTACATTCTTTGTCATATCAACCAAAATCTAGATAGATGAGATGCTATCACATACATAGATGCTTACTTTCAGTCTGCATATTCAAAAATTTTTTTAACCATCATTAATTTAATGTTCCATAACTATCATATCTTTGAGGTCTCTTGACACCCAAACATGCAACAGAACAATGAGAGATCATATATTATCCATGCTTTCCTACATTTCTTCTATACACAAAAGGTAATCCAACCCATACTTAGGCTTGCATTTCTGCAAGTCTCTCACCAATTGAAAATGTCCAAACAAGGGTTGTAGAAAGATTCCTAGAATAAACCCAACAGCCACACAGATGAACTTTCACAAAAAACTGAACCAAACAGATGAAAATAATCCAAAATACCATCCAAAGTCTGTCCAACTCCCTACCCAGTTGTGTAACAACTGCTATTGTTCAATAAATTCCATAGTTTCAAATTAGTGCCAGAAAAGAACAACAGCAATAATGCTCAAAGCCCCTCCCCCCCCAGTTCTGTATCACAAAATTAACCAAAATTTTAATCATTTTAGCCTTCAATTACAATGGGTTAATCTTTGGATTATGGTAACTTGGCGATTTTTTGGCGACCAACCCTGCTACAGCAACCTGCTAGTTTTGTTTTCACGAAGTAGAGGCATTTTTTTTTACTCAACATTTTTTTCCAACAATCTGCTAGCCGAATTGCATTTATGCTAGAACTTTTATGGAACAAAAGTGCTTAATCATGACCAATATTAGGTGCGAAATTGGGAGAAAGTGCAGAATCGCCCACTCCTTGCCGCGTTTTTAAGAATTGCACATACACGGTATCATCCATGTACACATCGACCTATTTTCACTTAAAAAAACATCCCAGAATTGCACAAAAATGGCACTGCGCACACTCTTGACTTTATCCATGTACACTGCTAAAGGTCCTAGCTAGGTCCTAACCTTTATCGTGTTACCAAAATGTCGCCAAACTACCTGTTACCATATTAAAAAGATTAGCCTTACAATGTATTTATAAAATAAATTTTATTTTAACTGCTTTCCTTTGCAGTGCAGCAATTTTAATGGCTAGCATTTTTATGTAGATATGCACTGCATTTTTGTTAACTATGTGAAACATCCAAATGCAAAACAAAATTATGGAACCCTGTTACAATAAATTTATTACTAGTTACACAGAATATAGCACTATGACAGAATTCTAGTTAACTTGATGCAAATGGAAAGTGCGGCATAAATGAAACCTACTACTCTTCAATTATTATGCCTTAGCCATAAAATGCACTCTTAATAAACAGAATAAAAGTTGCAATCTTGGAAGAAGTAAGGGGAGTATTAAGTTTATGTTATAAAGTTTTCTTTACAGTATATAGTTTTAAAAATAACAAAGCAATAAGAACATGCTTTCAATAAATATTACATAAGAACTGAAAGACTAGTAACCATGAGCAACGTATGGGTACAAGTAAGAATGAATATAATATGCGTTTATATTTGCTCATGGTTATGACTGTCATAAGACAGAAGTGAATATATTTAAGCTGCTATAATTCACGATATTAATATCCATTCTGCTAGCCCATTTTATAAGGCATAACCTTTTAATTTATAATTAATTTTATAAGGCATTACCTTAGTTTTTTTTTAAAGTGGTGACAAAATGCAGGTCACTGAAGCTACAGATGCTAAGACAGCAATGAATTTTTTTAAAAACATTCATAAATTTATATTTGCAAACTTTCAATTTAGAACACTGATCTTTACTGGCCATAACAATTATGGTGTGGTGTGGTGTATTTAATTATGGCAAAGCACACGAGGGCTATCTGCCTAAAGGGAGGGATGCCTTTCGTGGAGGACTTTCTAAGGGAAACTGGCTCGTATACACGTTACACATGGGGAAAACCACGAAAACGCCCATGCAGCCAGCCCGTTCGCGGGATTCGAACCTCAGACCGAACTACCAGTGTTCAGCGTCTTTACCGCTCGGCCGCTGGTGGGCCATAACAATTATGAGAATAGAAGTTTAATTTGATTAGTCACTCCATAAATATTTTCGCAACACAAATTAATTGGACGAAACTGGATTGCAAAAAAAAAAAAAAAAAAGGTACATGACTTCATCAGCCAGCTCAGAAGTCAGTAATCAACTGAATTTATTACTTATTGTACTGTTAAATGAAAATACAGATTTGTATTCATATGCATAAAACCTCAGAAAACCAGTGAACAATTTCCTGCTTGGCATTTGAACTTTAATTTAGTACATAACTTAAATGAAAATTAATACTGAATGCCAAGGAAGGAAAAAATTTCCCTGAAGCTGATTTCTGCATATGAATTTTTCTAACACGCTTTATTAATTGTTAAAGAGGTAAGAGTTTCAGATAATGCATATTATGTTCTATTAAAAGTTATATTTCCTACTTCTAAAATTATAGAGACCCTTCACTTCTACAATAAATCTATTTCGAGCAAAATTAGAAAATGAATGAAATTTTTACTAAATGTAACAGTTTTAAACTGCGGAGGCTACATACGACAAATTTAAAACAAGTCTATCGTTAAATTTCTTCAGAAAAAAATACAAAAACGAAGTATGAAATAAAATATATTTTTAGTCCATTTATAAATTGATAAAATCAGAAGCAATTAAAACATAAAGCCAAACATTAAATCATCGAAAAATCCTAAAGCAACTGGTTTTCAAAATATCTGTACACAATATAGGTGATTTTCATGCTAATACTTCCAAACAGATTAATCGAAGCGCTCCGTATAAAATTAATACGTATCTCAGCATACAAAAATATACTGTATTGAATAGCATTTTACAAATTTATATCACTTACAATAAAACAAACAGAAAAAAATCCACAAAACAGAAACTAAATAATTACCATTTCGCAGTCTTATTTTATACTTCCAACTTCTCGAAGAAACACACGAGAAATTAGCAAACGTGGCTACGAAAACAACACACATTTTCGTGACGTCAGTCTGATAACAGTGGGAGTTCTTTTCGTTTTCTTATGTTTAGAAAGAAGTTTCTGCTTCATGATGGATTTTGAAATATTTTTAAATTAATTGGATGCTATTCTACAAATAATTATTCTGAACAGAGCATTGACAGTTTAGTAAACAGAAAAATTTTCTTTCAAAATGTCCATGCAAATTTAGCTCCAGAACTTCGTGACATTTTCAATATTATTTAGTACTCGCTTTACACTTGAAATTTTAATTTCATCTGTGAATTTCATTTAAAAGTTCTGTGACAACAATGTTAGATGTGTTATTATATAGTTTTGTAATAGATGTTATTTTTGCAGCGCCTTTATGTCAAATTGTGAAACAACTCAACTCTCTTAAGGTACCCCTCCCGAATCCCGATTTTCTGTGCAAGTCTTTAAATTTTTTGATGTAAACTTTGCGTTGGTGTGCTATTTTAAATCCTTCCGTACAGCAGGATTCCAGGGCAAGGTATGCGGAACTGACTGCTGGTTGTTTATATCAGTCAATTTTGAATATTTTGTAGGCAAATTGTTGAATTAATATCTCATCTTATTTTGTCTGCTAAGCAATTCGTATGTCGGTCAAATTTAGAATCATGCTTATATATGGACATTCTCTGAATTAGGTTGCGAAATTTGACTTTCTTAAGAAATAAGATTATTGTTTGTTATCTGAGGTAATTATATAATACATTTAGAATTAAAACAGGCTGTGTGTTACAATTTTAGCGGTTCTGCATTCAAATGAAACGATTTGTATAGGAGCATCTTAATACGATATGGTTTAAATTTTTTAGACATTATTTATATTATTGCCCTAGCCATGCAATGTATTAAGGCATGTATTATATTAACAAATTTAAATTGATATTTTTTTTTTTTTTTTTTTTCCCTGAAATGTATCTGTATAAAATTTGTCTTTTCTCAGTACATCTGAATAAGTTTTTGAACGTTTTCATGCCTAACAAGTACTCTTGACAAACAGAAAATAAAAATTTTCTTATTTTTCATGTATCTATTGCAAAAAGGTGTAAAAATTTTCGTAGAATACTAATAATCTTGCTTGTTAGAGAAATTGTTTTAAAGCGAAAGAGATAAAAAATTGCTGTTTAAAAGTATTAAGAAAACTTGAAAGTAGAACTTTATATAAGCCATCTACAAAATGCTGTTTTTCGTAAGTTTTCGTAATCTTTTACTTATTTCCTGCAATTTTTGTAATGCCTTATTATGTGACCCACTATAACAATTTTATGTATTTTTTAACTTTTAATAATTTTATTTGTGATTTTGGAGCGACTTGCTATAACAGTTACCTTTCTGTAAACACCCTTTAAAACTTTATTCTAAAATTTAGAGGAATATAGGAAATGTTCAGTTTGTTCCTTTAAAAATTTACTTTGTTTTGTTTGCATTTTCAATGCATTGTTTAGTATTTTAATTGTATAATGTTAATCATCATTTAAGATATTTCTTGCTCGAAATAAAATTTAATGTGGTTTACTGACTGATGGGTGTGATTAAAGAAACAGTGTAAATCATTTGATGTTTAATGATAGTGTATATTGCATGGTAGTATTAATATTTCTATTTTGCAACATTTACGATAATTAAGCAAATATTTGAAAGAATAACGAAGTTGTACAAAAGCCATTGTAATATCTGGCAATTTCATGCAATATTTTCTTAAAGACAAATTTTTCTAACTTTAGTGAGGACATTTATATAATTTATGAAAATTTTAGTTCAAGGGAACTGTAAATCTGTAACAAAATTTACTACTCATGGTGTGTAATTGGTTGCTGTACATGTGATAAAATTCCACATTTGGCTGTAATTAAAATAATGAATATTTTAATTAATTTTAATTAGCTTTAAATGTAGCCTATATTTTTTGTTATTTAAATAGCTGAATTAAATAATCTATTTAATTAAACTTTATAGACATTAAGGCATAGGAAAATTAACAGTAGGAATAATTTTATATTCTGCTCTAAAGTTATACAAGAAGTAGAATTCCAGTCTTAATTCTCTTGTTAAATTGAATATAGTTTATAATTGAGTACTGATAACTGAAATTTAATACAAAAAGCCATTATTAAAATTCAATGTGAAAGACAATTAGAAAATTTGGGTAAAGTGCAAAATCACCCACTTATATGGCACATATATTAAGTGAAAATAGGTTGATGTGCACATGGATATCGCGTTTGTGCAATTTTTTTATTTGTTTTCAAGTTGATGCAGAAGTGCGCATTTATATGGTGCATATCGATGTGTACATGGACAAAGTCAAGGGAGTGTGCAATGCCAATTGTCTGATGTTTTTCTAAGTGAAAATAGGTCGATGTGTACATGGATACAGAGTTTGTGCAATTCTTTGACTTGTTATTTTGAAGTAAGTGATTTTGAGAAATGCATGAAGCAATGGGCGATTCCCTGAAAATTTATTAAAATTAAAATTCAGTAGAAAGAACCAAATGTCATTTTAATAACAGAATACTTTATTAATATAAAAATGTATGCCTTAGATCTTTTAGATAATTAGAGCCTTTATTCTTTTATGCCAGACAGTGCATAAATATGTACAGTAAATGTCTTAACTGGCAGCAATGGGATTTACTGATTCTGGCTAATTGAATACATATTTTTAGAATTTACCTTTTCATATATGTTGGTCATATTTTGTTATTCATCAGCCACTATTAAATAAATAGCATAGAAAATCATAGAGATTACTTAAAATTAAAACACACATCCATGACTGTCATATTTTAGGAAAACAAAATTAACCATTTTAAAATTAACACATATATCATCACGTGAAAGTTACAAATTTCGGTACTTTTCCGTTTTGTCGGAGCAAACGATAAAGTCTCCAATAATTGTACAACTGATGCCAAACGGAATATCTTTGCTGGTAACCTTTTATGCCTCAGTTTCAAAACAAGTCATAGCCATTTCTTATCAGATTGTTTCTTTCAATACTGGCATGCAATTACATATAATTTTTACAAGATAGTTAAATTTTATCGCCTAAGACAATTCACGGTAATTAAGTCAATTAAATGCAATCGCACAGCTCACCCGAAGGCGAAATCAAGTGTTAAATTCATCAGTTCTAATGAGAATGCACTAGCAAAGTAAAGCACCTGCGGGGTAAAAGTATATTTTAGAGTAACCCTTGGCTATTTTTGGCGGTACATGGATACCGAGGTTGTGCAATTCTTTGACTTGTTATTTTGGTTTGCATAGCTACACAAAGCCAAAATAACAAGACAAAGAATTTTACAAACTCAGTCTGTATCCATGTACACATTGACGTATTTTCACGTAAAAAATAAACCCAGAATTGCACAAAATTGGCATTGTGCACTCCTGTGACTTTATCCATGTACACATCGACCTATTTTCACTTAAAAAAAATATCAGAGAATTGCACAGTCCCTTGAATTTTTCCATGTACTCCTTGATCTATTTTCACTTAAAAAGTCAAAGGAGCACCCAATTCTACAGTAGAGGCTAACAAAAAATGCATAATCTCAATAAATTACATTTTAAACCAAACAATAAAATAACATAAAAAAGGAAAAACCTTTTATGTATTTGAGCACTATGCAAATCAAATATCCACTTACCTTATTTAGAAATTCGTTCTTCGTTCTTCCACTTACCTTATTTAGGAACTCGTTCTTCTAGTCTGTGGCATGCAAAATTCCTTAACAGCGTCCAAAAACTTCCTTAAATTATCTGAACTAGATTCCATATATCAGCGTTGCCACATAAATCCGGACGTAGTTCCGGACTGTCTGGAAAATAGCTGCTAAATAAACTTTACACACCAGTCAGTAAAGGCACTTTTCCCCATTCGTTCCAAATTGCACAGAAACTTGAAATTAATCTTACTACATTCTGCCATTGTGCCGTCTAAACAATGAAATAAGCAATGTACTTCCTAAGTAACACAAACCACAATAGCCCTTGCAAAACATCTCATGATTAAAAATTTTTTGGAATAATGCAAACGATTATGTCATAACATTCCATAAACGATTGTCATAATAGGTTGCCATAAATGATACAACAACTTGACGATAAATGAAACAACAGCATCGCAATAATGCAAGGGGTACCCTAAATTCAAATCTAACCTATTGCGGTTTTACATAATTTCTGAGTAAGCTATTCGTGCGAATTGAAATAATTCTTGCATTTAAACTTGTATTCCAAATTAAGATTTAACTTGAAATTAATGTAGATAATTACTGAGAGAATTAGATTTTTGTCTCATAGTTTACGTGAGATGAGATCACTTGGGGTCATGTGATACAAACCGGCAAATCTGAATTTTGAACCATGAAAGCATAGTAAATTCTTAAATTAATGTCTTTTTACAAGTTTATTGTCTTTATTGGCTTTTTACAATATTTTAAATGGTTGATCTTTGGATTATGGTAACTTGGCGATTTTTTGGCGAAAATTTGGCGACCAACTCTGCTACAGCAACCCTCTATTTTTTTTTCGCCGCCATTTTGTCTCCACGAAGTAAAGACATGTTTCTTTTCTTTTTATTTACTCAACACTTTTTCCAACAATCTGCTAGCCGAATTACACTTATGCTAGAAATTTTATGGAACAAAACTGCTTAATCATGACAAATATTAACTGCAAAATTGGGAAGAAGTGCAGAATCGCAAACTCCTTGCCGCATTTTTCAAAATCGCACATACACAGTAACCATGTACACGTCGACTTATTTTTACTTAAAAAAACATCCCAGAATTGCACAAAAATGGCATTGCGCACACTCTTGACTTTATCCATCTACATGCTATTTTCTCATAAATTACAAAAATTTGCAGGAAAATTTTGTGAATCTTTAATCTCTGTAAAAAGCACATATATGAAATTACCTGATCGCGAAAAAGTATATACCCTATCCAAGGACGAACATTTCCACGTATAATATAAATAAAATATCCAAAAACTTTTACCTCTAAATTATCTATTATAAACGTCACCAACGAATTCATAACAAAACATAAAAAATGGTTACAAATACTTAGTGTCAAATATTTAAATTATTTCCATGCACGTTTACTTCCACTCAAATGTATACCAAATTGCTACAAACATATAATTCACATAATAACTATCATTTAATTAAAATATAATTAAACCATGTACACGTCGACTTATTTTTACTTAAAAAAACATCCCAGAATTGCACAAAAATGGCATTGCGCACACTCTTCACTATATCCATGTACACTGCTTTTTTCTCATAAATTAGAAAAATTTCACGAAAATGCATGAAAATTCTGTGAATCTTTAAATTTGGTAAAAAGGATATATATGAAATTACCTGATCGTGAAAAAGTATATATCCTTTCCAAGGATGGACATTTGCACGTATAAAATATCCAAAAACTTTTCCCTCTAAATTATCTATAATAATAAAAGCAAGTGTAATGTGTCTGTCTGTCTGTCTGACCGAGCTCTCCAGCCAAATCTATCGCACGCAGGGACCTGGAATTTTTTATACGGAAGCACAAAGGGGCTGGCCACCAGACCTCGAAGCCCGATTTTCGATTTTTGAATTAGAAAAAATTTTTAAAAAAATTATTTATAATTAATTAATCACGGTTTTTTTGACTCACTGATATTATTATTTGTTTTCAAATAACGTTCGATTGTAACAATTGATTTCTTTATTCTAGCGTTAGTTTGCTGTTTTGACGATACATTAAATCGATTAATTAATTACAATTCATTCTTTTTTGTAGCTTTAGTTTGCTGTTTTCATGACACATTAATTTCTTTTTTTTTTTTCAGAATTGCACTTTATAAACTTTTGTTTCTTAATTAATATTATCATGGTTTTTTGACTCACTGATCGTGTTGCTATTATTATTTTCAAATAAGTTCGATTATAACAATTGATTTCTTTATGTAGCGTTTCTTCAGTTTTTGTAATCATTCTTCTGTTGGTTGCTTAACTTTTGCTTTTCAGATTTTAGAAGAAATATGCCGCAGCCACCTCGAAAAAAGAAATGTTTGGAAAATAAAAATCGACAAGAGAGAGAAAGAAGTCGAAGAAGGAGACAAGAAGAAACCACTCCAGAAAGAGAAGCAAGGCAGCGACATGACACAGAAAGAAGTCGAAGAAGGAGAGAAGAAGAAACCACCCCAGAAAGAGAATCAAGACAACAACAGGATGCAGAAAGAAGTCGAAGAAGGAGAGAAGAAGAAACCACCCCAGAAAGAAACTCAAGACAACGACAGGATGCAGAAATTATCTATTATAAATATCAGAGAATTGCACAGTCCCTTGAATTTTTCCATGTACTCCTTGATCTATTTTCACTTAAAAAGTCAAAGGAGCACCCAATTCTACAGTAGAGGCTAACAAAAAATGTCGAAGAAGGAGAGAAGAAGAAACCACCCCAGAAAGAAACTCAAGACAACGACAGGACGCAGAAAGAAGTCGAAGAAGGAGAGAAGAAGAAACCACCCCAGAAAGAAACTCAAGACAACGACAGGACGCAGAAAGAAGTCGAAGAAGGAGAGAAAAAGAAACCACCCCAGAAAGAGAATCAAGACAACAACAGGATGCAGAAAGAAGTCGAAGAAGAGAGAAGAAGAACCACCCAAAAAGAACTAGACAACGACGGATGCAGAAATATATTATAAATATCAGAGAATTGCACAGTCCCTTGAATTTTTCCATGTACTCTGATCTATTTCATTAAAAAGTCAAAGGGCACCAATTTACAGTAGAGGCTAACAAAAAATGTCGAAGGAGAGAAGAAGAAGAAACCACCCAGAAGAAAACTCAAGACAACCGACGCAGAAGAGAAAGAAGTCGAAGAAGGAGAGAAGAAGAAACCACCCCAGAAAGAAACTCAAGACAACGACAGGACGCAGAAAGAAGTCGAAGAAGAAGAGAAGAAGAAAACACCCCAGAAAGAAACTCAAGACTGCAGAGAGTTAAACCTTATTTTGGCAAAGGTGCGGCACAGAAATGAGATTGCCCTGGCTGTCGCTTCATCCGGCATTGCTGCTACACTCTTGACAGGTGGTAGGACTGCTCACTCGGCGTTCAAGTTACCCTTAAATCTGACAAGCACAGAGACTCCAACGTGTAACATCCCAAGGAATTCAGGAAAGGCAAAGGTTCTACAGGATTGCAAGCTCATCGTTTGGGACGAGTGTACCATGTCCCACAAAGCCGCATTCGAAGCATAGATGTCACCATGAAAGACCTCAGACGGAACAATGACAGAATGGGAGGCGTCGTAATGGTTTTGGCAGGCGATTTCGACAGACGCTACCAGTTATTCCGCGTGGAACGAGGGCAGATGAAATGCAGGCCTGCATAAAATCTTCTTACATCTGGAATGGCATTCAAACACTTGGATTATCAACTAACATGCGAGTTCATCTCAACGGTGATCCCTCTGCCCACAGTTTGCAGATAATCTACTGAAACTAGGAAATGGAGCCCTTACTTCAGAAAATGAAATGGATATGTAGCGATGCAAGGCATTGGAAGGATTGTGACTACTGAAGAAGAACTGAAAGAGGCTGTGTTTCCGAATGTGATTCACCACTTCACTGATCACGCATGGCTGTGCGAAGAGCAATTCTTGCCCCAACAAACGGAGCCGTCAGTGTTATCAACAAGGAACTTTTACAGAACTTACCCGGAAACTTCAATTTACAAAATAGACACGACATGCATATTGACGAGGCTGTCAACTATACGACAGAGGTTTCTCAACAAATTAGAGCCACTGGAGTACCCTCCCACATATTGGACTTGAAGGTTGGAGCACCGATAATTCTCCTCAGGAATCTGGATCCGCCTGCACTTTGCAATGGAACAAGACTTTCTATCAAGAAACTGATGCCAAATATTATAGAAGCCACCATCATGACCGGACAGCTGCAGGCGAAGATGTGTTTTATTCAAGAATTCCTATAATCCCTTCCGATCTCCAGTTTCAGTTTAAGCATCTAAAATTCCCTGTTCGTTTGAGTTTCGCGATGAGCATTAATAAGGCACAAGGACAATCTCTCAAAGTTGTAGGGCTCGACCTCCGTAAGCCGTGTTTCTCCATGGTCAATGTACGTGGGTGTTCAAGAGTTGGTAATGCCGATAATCTACACACATCTTAGCTCCGAAGGAAGAACATTAAATATAGTTTATCCCGAGGCTCTCTAACGAAAAGGACAATCTAACGAAAAATTATTGCCACTCTCCACTCTCCCAAAACTAACTCTGACTATCATGCTTTAAATAGTGATGTTATGTTTAGTGCTCTCTTGAGAGCATGAGCAATAATCGAATGGTGCTGCCGTACCAACAGACATTAATCGGTCAGGGGCCCTTGCGACCCCAGCCCGAGCTCCACAAACATACACAAACATCTCCTCTTCTAATTCATTGTCATCTAAATTTAACTTACACTTAAATTAAAAATTTAATTGGTTCTTAACTCCAAATTTCCTGTAAGCAGGAGTTTTATTTCATCCATGTTTTCGTTACTTTTATTTTTTCTGTACTGTACTCTCTATCTTTCCCTTTCAATCTTTCCTATCTTTGATTTTGAATTTTTTATGTTTTTTTCTTTATACTTCAAGACCATGATTATTAACCACATGACTACGGTTTCCTAGCATGTGCTAATATGAGGTCTGTTCTCATTTAAACTAATTTTTTAACAGATGGCTCATGGTTAGGATATATTGTTCCTTTTTATCGACGGGGAATGTTGTGTGTGGGGGGGGGAAGAGAGAGAGACAGTCTACTGTCCTACACTACTATTCCTGCGCTATTCACTTATCTGCATTTTCTAAATGCACGGGCAACGCCGGGCGGGTACAGCTAGTCTATTATAAACGTCACCAACGAATTTATAACAAAACATTAAAAATGATTACAAATACTTAGTCTCAAATATTTAAATTATTTCCATGCACTTTTACTTCCACTGAAACGTATACCAAATTGCTACAAACATATAATTCACAAAATAACTATCATTTAATTAAAATATAATTAAACCATGTACACGTCGACTTATTTTTACTTAAAAAAAACATCCCAGAATTGCACAAAAATGGCATTGCGCACACTCTTCGCTATATCCATGCACACTGCTTTTTTCTCATAAATTAGAAAAATTTCACGAAAATGCATGAAAATTTTGTGAATATTCAGTAAAAAGGACATATATGAAATTACCTGATCGCGAAAAAGTATATACCCTTTCCAAGGATAGACATGCACGTATAAAATAAAATATCCAAAAACTTTTACCTCTAAATTATCTATTATAAACGTTACCAACGAATTTATAACAAAACATTAAAAATGATTACAAATACTTAGTGTCAAATACTTAAAATTCTTTCCATGCACATTTACTTCTACTCAAACGTATTCCAAAATACTACAAACATATAACCCTCAAAATCACGATCATTAAATTAAAATATAATTAAATTAAAAAACACTACTTAAAATATAAATAAGCTCATACATTAAAGTAATAAAAATTAGCTTACAAATCCTAATTATTTAAACTAAATCCTGCTAATAAACAATTTTCCAATAATACCATATTAATATTTACTCCTTACATTTAGAACAATGCATAAAAATAATATCCTCAAATAATTAAAATACTAACTTACCTAATCTTCTTTACAGAATCTGAGTGCATGGCGGATCACAAAATGTCCATTTTCACTAGGTTTCTTGCACCGCCATTCAAACTTATATCCTTCCTTTCACATAATCTCATTTCATTCCCACATATTGGACATTCATACTTATCCGCAATTAAGCAATTCTTTTCAATTACACATAAACGCAATAAAAATTTCGGATTTACTTTATATAGGGCCATGGGATCCAAATATTAAACAATACTGTGTCACAGAACATAGAATGATGAAACTACTGCTATAAAGTACAGCAGATTTTTTACAAATTTACCCCTTTCCGATTAAAGAACAGTGATTTGCCATTAATGTCACATGACATATCTCATGATCTCTCATTTCCCTCACACAAAATAATGCGTAATTGGAACTGAGTACTTCTCACATTATTACCAAAGTCCTAGGTAGTAACCTTTCTCGCCTCCAAAATGTCGCCAAACTACCTGTTACCATATTCCAAAGATTAGCCTTTTAAACCATGTCCATGATGAAATGCTTAATAAGACTAGAGTCTTTGAAATAATTATGTAACTATTTTAAACCATATTAAAAAATGGGAGGCAGAAATATAACAAAAATGTTTTCCATTATTAAGTCTTCAAATCATTAGCCCATTGCATATTTTTATCTCGTAGTTCTTTATTTCGGATTTAAATTTAGTCCTTCAAAAGTGCCATAATTTGGGTATTGTCAGTTAACTAGGTGCCAGTTACGAGAGAGTTTATTACAGTGCAAAGTCAGTAATCCGGATGTCCATTATCTGGAATGATCTATAATCCAGACCTCAAAGCCATAAACTTTTTTTTTTTTATTATTACACTTTACGCATGCACGTTTAATGTATAACGGACAGTATAAGCTAGGCTAAAATTATCTTTACTGATTCTAAGGCATTTCAGTTGGTGTTGCAGATTGCGCTGTTCCTTAATCTTCTAATTGGATCTGGCTTATTATTTTTTGCAGACTGTTAGAGCAATTTTATAAAAATTAAGCTTGAACTTTCGATTATGTCAAAAAGATTATGCCTAATCATCAATCAATTAACGAACGGCGAAATCTGTAGTATGGTTCTAGATCCAGAAAATACCGCTTCCGATAGTGATGAAAGTGACAGAGAGGTTATTGAAAACGAAAAAATTTCGATTGACAAGTTAGTCTGTATTCTCGACACAGCAATTACAGGATTTGAACAGTGGAACTTAAGAAAATATGTCTGTTTTTAGAATTAAAGAGAAAGTATTAGCACAAAAAATGAAGCAACTTAAACAACTTACATTGAAAGAAATGTTTGATAAAGTAAAGAAATAAATAGTAAGCTTTTTTTTGGTGTGTGAAAATTTTGATATCCTTTAGTTCATAATTGCTCTTTATTTCATAAATTACGGTTTCATTTTTTTAATTGTATCATTTCTTCATGTCATCTTACCAGATTTAAATTGATGATCTATAATCCGGAATCGAATGACTAGTACTGTATTATAGTATCATTACCAAATTTGTTCCATTTAATCTGCTCTTCAGTTTTTAAATGAGTTCTAATTTCATTTGCCCGCCAGCGGCTGAGCGAGTTGCTATGAGCCGCGTACCTTTAGAATATCCTTCACGAAAATATCCATCCCTACCCTTAGGAAGATAACCCTAGTTTGCTCTGCCATAAGGAAATAAACTAACCAACCACATTGTTTCAGCATTTAGGTTCTTGGAAAGATGTAAACTATATTGTTTTTTGGCAAAGGCACAAATCTATATTTGTTTTAGAAATTAAAAGTAAAAGTCTATTGAAAGGAGAAATATCAGTAATGACAGTTATTGCTGTAATATATTCCTTGATTATTTACTTATATCTACATAAAAAGAATTTTGGGCTAATCTTTGGAATATGGTAACAGGAAGTTTGGCGACATTTTGGTAAGGCGATAAAGGTTACTAGGTAGGACTTTAGCAATAATTTGAGAAGTACACAGTTCGAATCGCAGATTATTTTGTCTCAGAGAAATGAGAGATCATTAGACATGTCATGCGACATTTTCTGGATAATTCTGATCGTGATTTTTTAGCTAATAAGCACTTAGAAACAATTTCGCTGCTAAAGTTCAGAATCGCCCACTTATTTGTTAGGCGCTTTTTACAAAAGAAAGAATTGGATTTTTGTCAATTTTTTTTTTTTAACTTTTTAAGAGAAAATAGTTTGATGTGTACATGGATAAAGTCAAGAGTGTGCGCAATGCCATTTTTGTGCAATTCTGGGATTTTTTTTAAGTGAAAATAGGTCGGCGTGTACATGAATACCACGTATGTGCAATTCTTAAAAACACGCGAAGCAGTGCACAATTCTGCACTTTCTCCCAAATTCGCACCTAATCTTCGTCATGATTAAGCACTTTTGTTCCATAAAAGTTCTAGCATAAGCGTAATTCGGCTAGCAGATTGTTGGAAAAAATGTTGAGTATAAAAAAAAAAAAAAAAAAAAAAAAGGTTGCTGTAGCAGGGTTGGTCGCCAAATTTTCACCAAGAAATTGCCGAGTTACCATAATCCGAAGATTCACCGAATTTTGCAAATGATGTTGAACAGCTTAAATGTTCTAATATATTTTTGCTTTGAAACTTACAGAAAGCTTTAAGTTTTGCCCTCATTAGTTTTTTACCGTTGTTCTAGGATTTAAAAGAAAATGTCATTTCTTGCGACTAAATTATTGGGAAAAGAAGTAAAGGATTTAGATGATAATGATATTGATGATTTGTTGGCATCTCTTACTACTGAAGAACTTGAGCAGTTGAGTAATGAGGTTGATCCTGATGTAAGTAAACATTTATTGTATATTTATTTTGCATATTATGTAATTTTTATCAGATTCAAAATTTTTTTTATAATCCAGTGATTTTTTTTTTTTTTTTTAAATTTTTATAGCTGAATTTTTCTTCTCATTGCATATCAAAATATAATCACCCGCCTCATTTTTCTTTTAATAATAATGTTTCAAGTGATGCATTTGAAATGGATAAAACAAAAATTAAAATATAGTATACTGTAAATGCATACATAAATTTCTAGTTAGTTATATTTAGTAGGTATTTATATATATTATATTTAAATTATGCGTTAAATACAAAAACATTTCTGTGAATTTTTTAATGAGTATAAATAATTCTTTTAATGTTATTTTATTTTAAAAAGATATGTTTTACTGAAAAAATGAAAGATTTGTACCTGATACGTACCTTGATGTATTACTGTATTCAAAATAGGAAGCAATAAATTTATTTACATGTATGAAATTGTTATGTACTCTCTGCACATGGAAAAAAAAAAAAAAAAAAAAGGAGCAGTTCTTTATTTGCTCTTCTACTGGACCAATCGACGAAATTTAACTTACATTTCATATCTCAAAAGTGAGGCTTAGGATATATATTAGATTTATACATAGCATTCTTCTAACATAGGTATTTTTTCAGAAAATTGGACTTTTCTGACCAGTTTGTTTCTGTATTTTGATTTTACTACTCAAGTAATGTCCAAATATCATATTTTGTAAAATTTGGTGAGAAACTTGCCAAGAAATTTAAAAATTCATCTAGCCACACTTTTTTAGTTTGTGCCAAGAATAATGCACTTTTCAAAATTCTTAATTTATAGTAATCTATTTTCTTTTCCCCCATTGTACATGAATGGGGAAAATGCATTGTTCATTTTTTAAAATAATCTTAACAAAGTGCGTAAAGCACATTTGTTGTTGTTATCGCTTATAAACCAAATTTCAAAACGTGCTAATATATAAATTCACATATACCTGAAGGTATGCCTAGAAATACATCTATTTTAAGATGATAAAAAGTTTATAGGTTATAATTTTAAAAAATTTTTAAATTTCTGAAAGATACCAATTTAAAAAATATTTCAGAAAATATCTGCGAATTTAATTTGGATTGGACCTAAATTTCAAACTATGAAAAATGGATTCAAGTAAGTTTATTAAAGAGAGAGATTAATAAACATTAACCAAATTTAATTATATTGAGAAGCTAAAGTTTTGACAACTTATTTTTAAAAACTCCTCTTACGATTTTTACGAAACTTGGCACTTTGGCATAGTTTGAATCGTAAAATATCGAAAAAAATTGGTACGTCATTTCAGAAAAATTTTTATTTTACGTCAGAATTCCTATGTTAGAACAATGGTATATATAAATCTAATATTTATCCTAAGTCTCACTTTTAAGCCATAAGAAATGCAAGTTAAATTTTCGTCTTGTCTCAGTAGAATGGGAGATATAGAACTGTCCCTCACTTTTTTTTAGGCAAGATATATATATATGTATTATGTCTGATAGAACCTCCTTATATATGTTGTCATCAATCTTCATAATAAAATATTTATATTTAGGATTCTCTTCTCCCTCCTTCACAACGATGTAAAGATCAAACAAAAAAGGCTCCTACTGGACCTTTAAATCGGAAAAAATTGCTGGAATATTTGGAAAGAACTGCTAGAGAACAAGCTGATTGGCCTGAGGTGAAACCATATGAGCCAGGACTGAAACGAGGTCAGATATGTGACTTTTTTATGAAAAATTGTTGCATCTTGGTAAATTTACTTTTTTTATGTACTGAATACTGTATCCTGTTTATGTAGGAAACTTGAAATTAATTAAAATGTATCAAAACTAATTCAAAAATTGTTTTTAACTGTAAGAAATCTAACAAGTGCTTACTATGCATGTCATAGGCCATTTAACTTAATTGTAATTTTATAGTTTTTTTTTTTAGTTTTTTTTTTTTTTTTTTTTTCTTTCAGTCTGCAATCCTAAAAGTATTGATGAATATAAGGTCTTAGCTTATTTGGTTGATCTTTACAATATGGTAACTGGTAGTTTGCGATATTTTGGAGGCGATAAAGGTTACTACCTGGGACTTTGGTAATAATGTGAGCAGTACTCAGTTCCGATTACGCATTATTTTGCGTGAGGGAAATGAGAGATCATGGGATATGTCATGTGATATTAATGGACGAATTTACGGTTCTTTAATGGGGAAAAGGGGGGAAATCGGGGAAAAAAATGTGGAAATTTTGTATTTAGCTTTATTCTGTGTTGTGTGAAACAGTTGTTGTTTAATTTTTGGATCCCATGGCCCTAACTAAAGTGAATTCGAAATGGGTATTAGGCATTGTGATAAAGAGAAGTTTGCTTTTTATTTAGCGGAGGAAGTATGGAGGAACATTCGCAGAAAAAATCTTTCAATAATTTTATTGAATGAATTAGAAAAGTGTATCCGCCACGTAATCAAGATTCTGAAGAAGATAGGTAAGTTAGTATTTTTAATTATTTGAGGATATTATTTTTATGCATTGTTCTAAATGTAAGGGGAAAGGATTTGGTATTATTGGGAAATTGTATTAGCAATGATTTAGTTTAAAGTAATTAGGATTGTAAGGTAATTTTTTAATTTAATGTATGTGCTCATTTATATTTTAAGTAGTGTTTTTGAATTTAATTATATTTTAATTAAATGATAGTTATTTTGTGAATTTTATGTTTGTAGGAATTTGGTATACGTTTTAGTTGAACGTAAACGTGCGTGGAAATAATTTTAAATATTGATACTAAGTATTTATAATGCTTGTGGTATGAATTCGTTGGTGACGTGTATAATGTAAAGATGATTTAGAGTAAAGTTTTTTGGATATTTTATTTATTTTATATGTGGAATGTTCATATTTGTAAAGGGTAAATACTTTTTTCCGCGATCAGGTAATTTCATATATGTTCTTTTTACCGGTTTAAAGATTGAGAAATTGTCATGTATTTTCGTGAAATTTTTCTACTTTATGAGAAAAAGCAGTGTACATGGATATAGTGAGAGTTGCGCATGCCATTTTTTGTGCAATTCTGGGATGTTTTTTTAAGTAAAATAAGCGACGTGTACATGGTTTATGATTTTTAATTAAATGATAGTTATTTTGTGAATTTTTATGTTTGTAGGAATTGGTATACGTTTAAGTTGAATAACGTGCATGGAATAATTTAAAATTTGATACTAAGTATGTGTACTGCTTGTGGTATGAATTCGTTGGGTGACGTGTATATGTACTAGATGATTTAGAGGTAAAAGTTTTTGGATATTTTTTTATTTTATATGTGGAAATGTTCATTTTGTAAAGGGTAAAACTTTTTCGTGATCAGGTATTTCATATAGGGTTATCTTTAAATATGGTACTGGTAGTTTGGCGACATTTTTGAGGCGATAGGTTACTACCTGGCACTTTGGTAATGATGTGAGCAGTACTCAGTTCCGATACGCATTATTTGTGTGAGAACAATGAGAGATCAGGGATATGTCATGGATATTAATGGACGAATTACGGTTCTTTAATCGGAAAAGGGGGGAAATCGGGAAAATATCTGGAAATTTTGTATTTGGCTTTATTCTGTGTTGTGTGAAACAGTGTCGTAGAATTTTTGGATCCCATGGCTGTAGTAAAGTGAATTCCAAATGGGTGTTTTATGTATTATTAATTAATGTATGTGCTCATTATATTTTAAGTAGTGTTTTTGAATTTAATTATATTTTAATTAAATGATAGTTATTTGTGAATTTTATGTTTGTAGGAATTTGTATAAGTTTTAATTGAACTAAACTGCATGGAAATAATTTAAATATCTGACACTAAGTATGTGTAATGGTTGCGGTTGAATTCGTTGGTGACGGTATAATGTAATAGATGATTTAGAGGTAAAAGTTTTTGGATTTTATTTATTTTATATGTGGAAATGTTCTTACTTTTTCGAATCAGGTAATTTCATAATATTTTTCTTTTTTCCGGGTTTAAAGATTGAGAAAATTGTCATGTATTTTCGTGAAATTTTTCTAATTTATGAGAAAAAAGCAGTGTACATGGATATAGTGAAGAGTGTGCACAATGCCATTTTTGTGCAATTCTGGGATGTTTTTTTTAAGTAAAAGTAAGTCTGCGTGTACATGGTTTAGTGATATTTTAATTAAATGATAGTTATTTTGTGAATTTTATGTTTGTAGGAATTTGGTACACGTTTAAGTTGAAGTAAACGTGCATGGAAATAATTTAAATATTTGATACTAAGTATTGTAATGCTTGCGGTATGAATTCGTTGGTGACGTATATAATGTAATAGATGATTTAGAGGTAAAAGTTTTTGGATATTTGTTTATTTTATATGGGAAATGTTCATATTTGGAAAGGGTAAATACTTTTTCGCGATCAGGTAATTTCATATATGTTCTTTTTACCGGGTTTAAAGATTGAGAAAATTTGTCATGTATTTTCGTGAAAATTTTTCTAATTTATGAGAAAAAAGCAGTGTACATGGATATAGTGAAGAGTGTGCGCAATGCCATTTTTGTGCAATTCTGGGATTTTTTTTTAAGTAAAAATAAGTCGGCGTGTGCATGGTTTATGTGTATGTGTTATTTTGAAAAACGCGTAAGGAGTATGGTATTGTGCACTTTTTCCCAATTTTGCAGTGAATATTTGTCATGATTAAGCAGTTTTGTTTGATAAAATTTCTAGCATAAGTGTAATTCGGCTAGTAGATTGTTGGAAGAAGTGTTCAGTAGATAAAAAGAAAAGAAACATGTCTTTACTTCGTGAAGACAAAATGGTGGCGGGGGATAGAGGGTTGCTGTAGGAGAGTTGGTTGCCAAATTTTCGCCAAAATTCACCAAGTTACCATAATGTAAAGATCAACCGCTTATTTTTTTAAGCTGAAATTAACCTTAAAGTACTTGACCGATCATTTATATACTTTGCATAATTTCTGAAATGACTTTTGCAGGAAAGATATGGAAGCCGAAAGAAATGCCAAAACCTAAATCTGACGATTTAGAAATTGAGTTGGATCTTGATGATGAATATGAACAAGCTTTGGGCACTGCTGATGAAGCAGAATTAGTTGATTTAGCTGGTAAGTTTTAAACTCTTTCTCTTAAAGCATGAAAATTATAGAAAGTATCATAGTTACTTATATCAGCATTTAAAAAAAAAAAAAAAAAAAAAAAGATTTAAATAGTTTACTTGACATAAATTCTAGATATGTGAAACTAAAATTTTAAAGCAATGAGATGTGTGTATGTGAAAACTCTTCCTTCAGTTTATGAGGTTATCATTATTATTATTATTTTATATGATTTTTTTATTAGTTGAAGGATTTGTATATGGTTTTTAATCTAAGAAACATGCTAAAATGTTTAAGTACTGCATCTTGAGGTAAAACTAAATAAATCTTTTCTTTTAATATGAATTTATATGTATTGAAAGTATTCATTATATAGTGCATTATTACAGTTTAAGTCTTATATTATCTTTACATGTTTGAAAAATTAATGCACTTTTTCGTGTTGTATGGTAATTGAGTAATATTTATTGTCTATCTGCACTTGTCACTGGCTAGATTATCAGTTTTTTTTAATGAGTTAATTTTCTCAAAGCAATTGATATTCTTACACCCTAGATCTCAAAAGATTTTCTGAAATCTTTAAATTTTGTATTTAGATTAAGTTGGCTTGAAATTTCACTAAAAAATATAAAATGTATTTATGCAAAATTGAGTTTGTTTCCAAATTGTCTAAAATTTGTGAAAAGATGATTCCATTTTCAGAAAAATCTGAGTTACTCAGCTCCAGACACGCCTTCAGTTGTAATTGTCATTTTCTGAGTTATAATAAAATGCTAAACTTGTCATTACTGTTAATAAATGCTTATGAATTTCCAAAAAATCATTTAAAGTGACTTTTATAATATCTGTTTTTAAATATGGAGATAATTTTCATAAAACATTTAGCAAATATTCGAGAACTCAAATTATGCCAAGAGATTTCTATTTCAGGTAATCATCTGTGTTTATGCGTAAGATTATATAATGTATTAATTGATACATTAACCAGATTTAGAGATTACTCACCAATATTGATTGTCAAAAATTAAATGGCTAATTTCTTTTTTAATTATGTATTGTTTAATTTCATTTTCAGTGTTTTCAGGTAATACCCATCTTCAATAAATTTTTATTGAATTTTTTTGTAACTATGGGTCTGTGTGATTTACTTAAAAATGAAACTGAAGGTATTTGATTTTTTTTTTTCCAAGATTACGTCATAGACATTTAAGAACGTACCGATTCTCATCAAGTTGCCATCAACGACAACAGAATTTTATGAAAATAATTTCTATAAATGTTGCTAAACTGTGAAAATATGCATTGGAAATTATTTTGAAGGAAACTACCTAATAAATATAACAGCTATACAATTTGTGTGCTTTTGATATAAAGAACTAATATTAATAGATTGGAGAATATAGGATGATAATCAGCATTTTTGACTTGCCTTATATGGATTTGTGTGTTGGAAAGTATAGAGAATTGCCAGATTAAAGGAAAGTTGTGGTATGGCATGCACTCTTTAGGAATGTACACTAAATGTGGATGGGCATTATTTTGTTTCAGACTAGTCTTATTGCATGACAGCATCGGTAATACTGCAAGTTGTTAGGCATTGACATTGTATTGTCTGGCTTTTGAAATGAAGGAAAGGGTTATAATAGACATAATGCGGTCTGAAATTATATTGGATTTATATATTTGGAGGGTATGCATTTCTCATCTCATATGCTTTAGATACACTTTTTTTAAAATTTAATGTGCATTTTCTCTTTTTATGTATGAATCTAAGAAACATGCATATGTAGTTTTGAAATTGTTAAGCAATTGTTCTAAATGGAGGGATCATTTGACAGAATATATATTATTTAAGAGAAGTATTATATATATATATATATATATATTTGCTACAATATTGTGAATATTACTTAATTATGAATCTTTTAAGTTATTAGTATATGTCTAGAATATAAACCATGTATAAAATTATAAACAAGCTTATTAAATCTGAAACTGATGGAATTTATGTTTAAAATACTAATTAATAGAAATATATATTTTTGTAGTATTGTGTTCAGTATGTCATTTATAAAATCTGCACTTCAATTTCAACTCGTAGCATTGTTGTTTAAAAAAGTAAAATTTTTTGCAGCTATTTTGGGTTTGCATAGTATGCTAAATCAAGATCAATTCCATTCTTCCATTTTAAACAAAGGACAGAAAATTGGAGACAGATTTGAAAGTATGTATTTTTTATTTAGCGAATAAAGTTTCTAGTAATGGAATTAAATATCTGAAAATTTATGCATAGTTTTTTAAAGTGGTCTGTAGTTATCGATAACTTGATTTTATAAACAAGTGCATTCATAAAAAAATTAATAAATCTTGCCCCATGGAAAGCAAGGTATTGAATGAGGTTATTCTCATGAAAAATTGCTTAAGAATTCTTTAATATGTTGAAAATAAAAGAATAAGGAAATACTTCATTTGTCCCCCTCCCTTGTCTTACCTTGTGAGAAAATTTCTTTTCTTCGAATCCAAAAGAGACCAGGATTATTTTTGTTAACTGAAGGCAATCTAAGGCACTTGATAGCAATAATCTAACACATTACTAACTAATTACATATATAACACACAGAATAAAAGTTATTGGTTTCATCTTTCCTGCAATTGTCCATTACTAATTTTCAGAAATGCTCTAATTTCAAGGTGGCGTGCATGTGCGAATCATGTGATGTGAATTGTAAAGCAAGACTTTCAACATAAACTGTTCTTTAATTGCTGTGAAAGAAATAAAGAAAAGGCCTGTGTTTGCCCTTGTAAATGCAAGGTTGTTTGAAATATTTTAATAAATGTGTTTCTGATATTATGGCTTTAATTAATATCTGTGTTTATTTTAAATTATTTCTTGTACTTAGCAGAAGTAGAACACATATTTCATATATTATTATGTAAACATTTAGATATATAAGCTTTTGTATTGAATGTAACATGTAAAGTACTATGTTTCTATCCTTTTCACAATATATATTAAAATAATCGCTGTGTATGAGGATTAAAAAGTAAATAAAATATATTTGTAAATTTTTTTATTTTGTCATCAAGAGATTTAGTGTCTGTATTAAAAAAAATCATATTTAATTCTAAATGGAAAAAAAATTCATTGTTCATTAAATTTGATTTAATTATTAATATGAATTATGTGTGTGTAATATTTTAACTAGAAAAACATGAAACATTAGAGAAGAATCATTATCTTAAAATATTATTGATAATCTACATAAAAATTTTTAATATATTTAAATATGTTTTTCCTGTCATTAAAAAACTTGTATCAAAATGTTCTATCTTACAGCTATTAGTATTTTATTATCAAATTTTTTTATATATATTAATGTATAAAATATGATTGTAATTAGTGTTTTTGAAACCATAGGTATTGTTCATGCTACAAAACCTAAAGTTTTGCCTTTGGAACCTGATAATGATACTGATGTTGATAAAACTCTTCAGCAGGTTATAGATAATGATTCATCCCTGAAGAAATTAAATTGGAATAACATTAGGGTAGTATTATGAATTTTATTATGCAAGCTCTAATTTTCTTTTTATGTATGTACCGTATTGTAAATCTGAATAATTTATTATCTAATGCTATGAATTAAGTATTAATTTTTACAATTGTTTTTACCAGAATATTTCAAGAGAAAAAATGAAGAGATTATTTGAAGGCTTAAAGACTAATACTCATTTGGAATATCTCAGTTTGGCAAATGTAGATCTGTATGATGCATCAGCTGAGGTATTAAGTTCCTTCTTCTCATTATTTTTTCACACTTTGTAAAGCAATGTGACTTTTAAAATTTCAGTTACTATCAACATTTTAAATGATGAAAAGAGCAGATACCAGTGGTTTATGTCTCGAGTTGAGAAAGATCACTGATCATAAATATTAACGTTCTTAATTAACCAACTAATATATAGAACAATTATAATTGGTAGAGCACATAACTAAGAACTAAACCCTTCACAATTAACTTTTATCATAGCCACATAGTAATTTTTCAGTAATGATTCAGTTTCTTTTATTTATTTGATATATGGTGCCCCTGAAATGCTATTTTTAGTTGTGGAAATTTAAGTGATGAAGAACATATAAATAAAAATAATTCCTTCCAGTTTTGCAAAACAAAAGCAGAAAAAGCTTTCAGAAGGGCCCATTTCTATAAGTTGTTTAGCCATATACATTGACTGTCACGCAGCGTGACCAAAAAACAGTCATCAGTTTTCTTAACAGATCTTGACCATGCTTCTGCAAGATAATGTAGAAGTATTTGCTGTGTGGTACTTCAGATTTCATTAGTTTTAAAATTAAATAATAGTAGCTTCATAAAATAAAAAAATCAGCAGTTTTCATATTCTAACGCATGATAAAATGGAAGGGGGAAAACTATTCAGACAATAACCAATTTTGATGGCACTGTCTAAAAAATAAATATCTATCTTTGTAGATTGCATCATTACCCGTTTTTCTTTCTGGCTGCACGAAAGAGGAAGGAAATTTTTGCAAAATCAGACCTCTTAAAGGTAGTGGAAATTCAGTTATCCATCTTTCTCCTGACTGTTACTTTGTGTTTTCTGTTAGTATTGTGACAGTCTAATAGATAAAATAAATCTGTTAGGAAACTAAAAAAAAAAAAAAAAATTAAATAAATAAATAAAACAAAAATTATTTATTTAAAATATGTTATGTAGTAAAATATGATAATTTTAAAGGCTAAATACTGTTTAAGAAAATGTATTGCTATAATCTCAAATAAACTGTATGTGTGAAATAAATAAATAAAATTTTTTTTTTTTTTTTTTTTTTTTTTTTTTTTTTGTAATTGTTGGATGTTATGTTTTCTACCCCCCCCCAAAAAAAAAAAAAAAAAAAAAAAAAAAAACTTTAAGCAATTTATAAAGCTTGATGTTTCAGTACATGAAACTTCAATGGAAAATTATCTTCTAGGTGCTAGAGTATAAAATAAAGTATTATAAGTAAATCATGTTGAAAGTATTTGATATTTATCATGTTATGGGTAGACATCGCTTTGAATTTATTTTAAATATTTTATTTCTGCTGTGCATAATAGTAAATAGTAGTGTAGTAAACAGAGTGATAAGCTGTAAAGTGACAAGTTTCAATTCTGATCTGAATTTTTATCTGTACTATACAATATGTTCTGGTTGTAGTGCAAGAAGTTTCTGTTACAGGTCTTTTCTCATGTCCATTACTATAATACTGGGACTGAAAGATAATCAAAGTTTCATTGGATAATTGTAAACTATTTGAGATGTGGAGAAATGCAATATCTCGAACTTAACTCTTAATTTCCAAAGAACTAGTTCTTGTTATAGTTTGACTTTCTTTGACATAAATATTGGTGAAAGTAAAATGTATGCATCTATCGTATGTATAGAACTTGAGACAAGATATGAAGTCTACAATGTTTGAAATGTAAAAAATAAAAGTCAAAAAAAAAATTTTAAAAATTCAGTGTTTATTTAAAAAATGCAAAATAATATTAAAAATCTGAACTTTTTTCCAATTCCGTTGCAGAAAGGGGTTATATGGAATAAAAATATTTTTGCCTTTAAAAAAAATTTTCATGTAATTAGTTCAAAATAATCTCTATCATTTGAATATATTAAACAGTATATCTTTCTTACGCTATTTATGCATCAAAATCATTACTGATCATCATTTAAAAAATTTTGAATTGCTCAGAATTCCTTATCTATGGTTGTTGTAAGATATAGCATTTGTTATGAGCTTTTACTGATGTATCATGATTTGATGATCTTAATTTTTTTAATAATAATTAATTTCTTAGTAAAGTGGCAAAATGTTATTTCATTTGCAAGTATGATGTAAGGAATGTAGCCTGAAGATCAAGCCATTCATTAATTCTTTATGTAACCAATTTAGTATTTACAAGTAAAAATTATCATTGCTTAGAATATTTTCTGCCAAAGTTTATTTTTAAAGTTTATGTGTTTAACATGTTGGTAATTAATTAAAATATTATTCTTTTTAATGTGAGAATACTTACTGACACCCAACTAATTCATTGGTGGAAAATATTTAGTTTTTTTAATGGCTCATAGATATAGATCTGTTTATAAAAACCCTTTCCTTGACGCCACATTGCACAATTCCACTACAGTTCATTATAACAAGACAAAAAAATGGGGGAGGCAGTACTTGGAGAGACCTTGATCAGCAAAATCCTAATTAAATATGAAGCATGTAAACTCATCAGTACTAAAATTTTCTGGGGTATGAATATGCATAAACTTGCAAAATAAAATGTTTCCTACACACTGAAAAGTATGCCAAAGCTGTCCCAAATGTTATGCTCCCTACCCAAGTTGTGAGGGTGGGTTATCAGAAAGTACCAGTGTTAGTTCTGTATGTAAAGTAAGGGAACAAATATTTCTTTCAATGTAAAATAACATTGTTTGACTTTTATCCTTGCCAATAATAATGTTTTTCCTTTGAATGCTGTCTTTCACTGGTAGATGCAGGTTTGCTAAAATAACTTCTAAACTTGGGAGTGTCAATAAAAATGTGATGAACACATTTAATGTAGAACTGGTATGCTGAATTAAACCCGTGTCTTAAGGATGTTTGTTAAAAATATCCAGTTGTTTACATTGGAGCTTTTCAAGTGCATTTACTCAAACTTAAAGCACTTTTCTATTTTGGAAGAATGGGAAAGGGGCAGAAGCACAAGGTAATATAGGTGGCCAACTTCTTTGCATACAAAAGTAGATTTAATGTGTTTGCTAGAATAAAAGGCATTTTTTTTTTTTTTTTTTTTAAACCTGGCCTTTTTTTTTTTTTTTTTTTTTTTTTTTTTTTTTTTTTTTTTTTTTTTTTTTTTTTTTTTTTTTTTTTTTTTTTTTTTTTTTTTTTTTTTTTTTTTTTTTTTTTTTTTTTTTTTTTTTTTTTTTTTTTAAATGAGTGTTTGGAAATGCTTCCAGGAATATTTTGTGCTTATTTCAAGCTATCTTTTAAAGCAAGTGAAATTTGCAGATATAGCAGAAATATAATATATAGTTACACATAGGAGAAATTCACTACATTCACTGATGATTCATGTATCGCATATAAAGTATTCTTTAATGAAGTATTATATACACTAGCAGTCACTCTAACCTGAGAACACTGGATTAAATAGAAAGCATGTATGCCTGCCAAAAAATATGTTTCTATCATTTCTAGCAGGTGTAGTTTAGAAATAATGGAACATAAATATATTTTAGAAAAAAGGAACTGGACAGAGAAGGAAGCGTATAGGGAAAAATATTTGTACCCTAAGTTTTTATTTAAATTTAAACTGACTTGTTGATCAGTGGGACCACTTTTGGCACATTTGTCAAACTTTCGATTTGTAATAAGTCCAATCCTATCCCAGCCCTATATATATATATATATATAAAAGCAATTAAATACTCAATTATCATTTATCAAAAGAATGAAAAACAGTTATCATGATTATTGTGCTGAATAAGAAATTGCCAATAGCAAATGTTTTATATTCTTAGAGATAAAAAGTTTCTGCCCACCTAGTATTTAGCATGCTTGTTTAGCTTCTAAATTCCACTAAAATTATTATTTTGAATATTCATATTACATTACTTTATATTTCATTTACATGTGTTAGATATGATATTGAAGATGGATCTACATTTATTATGCCTCGAGTTGTTCTAAATGATGAAAATAATAAATTTATATGTAACATGACATGCCATTAAAAAATAGGTCCTTTAGAGATATATTTTTCTGATAATACTTCGTTTTATATCTCTGCTCTGTCTTGAGTTGCCTTTTTCTGTGTATTTGAGCAGTTTGCTGAAATAAATTGTCCAGTCTTTTCTTTTCTATAATCATGTATGCCTCCATGTATTAAAGAAATGCATAAAATATTTCAGCTCTTTCAAGACTGATATGAAATAAAACTTTGTGTCCTTTAAAGAAAAAGAAATATTTTGGAAATAAATGATATGCAGTTATTGCAGGCAAAGTGTTTGTATCCCTTATTCCCATAATAAGCATAAATTTAGAACCATGGAAATTTTAAGGTCCTTTTTATATTATTTGTGATGTGAAAATTTTACATTTTTATTTATTGTAAAGGAAAAATGAGAGGAAATGTGCAGTAATGTTTACTTCATAGGATTTATAGATATACTTAATATGTAGAATGTTTTCTTTTTTTCCACTAAAAATCTTGTTTGAGAAATCAGTTTCTATGAATCTCCTTTTACATTACAATTTTATATGCTGTGTTTTAATAAGCTTTTATATGTATTAACAATTGTTAAAAATGTATTAATGTTCTGTTATAAGTTGTTTTGGAAATATGAAATTTTTCATTAACTTTTTTATCATTCCTTCCTCTTCCTTAATGATGCAATATTTTCTTTTCAGGTTTTGGTGGAAGCATTGAAACAAAACAAAACATTAATATCATTGAATGTTGAATCAAACTACTTGTCTGGAAGTATGATCAGAGATTTGATAGATGCATTGCTGACTAATCAAACTGTTCTGGAATTCCGTGCTGCAAACCAGGTTTGTCATAGAGCATTATTGAAAAAAACTAATTTATAAAACAGAATTAAGTTCGAAACTGTAGTGAACAGTATTTACTATGGTAAGGTTAGATTAAAAAATATCTCTTATATTAAACTAAAATTCTAATTTGAGAATTACTTTCCATTTGGAAGGTACTTAAAATATAAACATTCATTTTAATTGACTATGTTGTTAATCAAATGTAATTTTGCCAAAGAATTTTTTTTCTAAATAATGATTATACTATTCTGGAAATTTTAAGAAATGTTTCATATGTTAATTAGAATAAAACAACGCAATATAATAAAGGATTTTGGACTAAGTAATTGAATTAGTTAAATATTACTTAAAAAAATGTTAATTTATTTTTTATTAAAAAATTGTAAATTACAAAAACTGAATAATCTGAAATTGAAATATGCATATTAATTAATCATATTTTAATATCTCAAATATATTCATTAGGTGGAAGTAAAAGGCTGTTAACTATTATTTTAGTTGGAAATACAGTAAAAAAAACTTTTAATTCGACACTTTATACTGGTAAATGGTATGGTAAAGATTCAAAAGTAAAAAAAGAAAAAAATTACCCTGTTTTCTTAAAAAGAGTAAAAATAATATAAACTCAAAACGTTATGTAATTATAAAATGGCTTAGCTATTTTAGCATACAAACTGAAAATGTGGGATGAAAAAGCAAGTTTACCATTTCTGATCTGAATCATTTTACTAAAGTGAAAAACCACCAAAGGTTGAAAATAGTATACTTCACAATCCACATGAAAGAGAATTTTTTACATATTAACAAATCTCTTAATTTTAGTTACCACCCTGCTTTATTCTCTTTTTATGGTTTTAAGTAATGTAGTCGATGTTTTAATATGTATATATAAAGAGATTAAATTTGGTAGTTAATGCCTGCTTTTTTCTGAGAAAGGTTTGTGATCTCGTGTCATTCTGGGCACGAAGGTGGTTCTTTTTGATGGAACACTCATAGCAGAAAAATATTCTTCACACACTTATAAACTGGTGTGCAAAACTTAAGCAACAATGTAAAAATTTAGCAGATAGCCATGAAATTGCAGAAAAGGAGGTCTGGAGATCAGTACAATGAACACGTAAGTCAGTAGAAACGTCATGCGTATGCAAATATCAGGAACGAAACTTCGGAGGCGACGTGAGCGTACACAAAGCATGTGATGTCGGCACGCACAGCTCAACAGTAGAATAAAAGGAAGGATGGAGACGCAATTCAACATATTTGCTGCAAGTGCCGGTGAGTCAGTTCGTGAAATATGGCTAGAAGAAATCACCTGGATGACTTCACAGGTTGAAGAATAATCGGAAAGCTGGAGGAAGGCGTACTGTCACCAGTGTAGCTGCAGAGTTTGGAATCAACAAAAGTGTCATTTCGCGAGCTTGGAAAGCATTCCAAACCACAGGTACAGCTGTTAGAAAGGTTGGTGGTGGCCGCCCGAGGACAACTGCAGGGGATGACCAATATATCATCCTGCAGGCGGAAAGAGGCCGACAGCAGTCAGCAAGCACCATTGCTCAGCAAATCTGTACAGCAATGGGGCGACAAGTGTCGTGGTTTACTGTAGCCAGATGCCTTCACGAAGGGGGCCTATTCGCCCGCCATCCTGAACGTTGCCTCCCATTGAAAGTTGGCCACCGACGCCACTGTTTACAGTGGTGCAGAGAGCACAAAAACTGGACAACTGATCAATGGAGTCGTGTCCTCTTTAAGGATGAGAGTCGGTTCAGTACCAGAAGCAATTCTCAACGCGTTTTGATTTGGAGAGAGGTCGGAACCCGGTTTTATCCCAGTAACGTCAAGGAAAGACACCGTAACGATGGTCTTGGAGTTCTTGTCTGGGGTGGCATTATGCTGAACGAGCAAACTGAGCTCCACATTTTTGACAGAGGATCTGTAACCGGGGATCGCTATTGTTTGCGATGAGGTACTCCTTCCCCATGTGTGTCTGTTCCGAGGTGCCATTGGCCCAGACTTAATTTTTATGGATGACAATGCACGGCCACATCGACTCTTGCTGTTGAGGAGCTACTGGAAAGGGAAGATATCACTCGAATGGATTGGCCAGCGTACTCCTCAGATTTAAATCCCATTGAACATGTGTGGGATGCTTTGGGGAAACGCATTGCAGCACGCTTATATCCTCCAGAGAACACCCAACAACTAAACAGATGCTGATAGAGGAATGGGCACTCTTATTGCAAGAAATGTTGCACCAGCTGGTTCTGAGTGTGCGGAGACGGTGTGAATCAACCATTGCAATGAGGGGAAGGCATATCCCATATTAAGGAACATCTGCTTGTTGTTCTTCCTCTTGGATAGACAATCATGAATCATGATACTATGCTTTCAATAAAGCTTGTTTTTGTTTGATTCCATACCGTATGCATTGTATTCCTTTTTCAGCTCCGATGCTTTCGTCATCTTTTACGTACATAATGCTCTCCTTCATTTCTGCATTTCATGTCTCTCAGTTGATTTCTCGTGAAGTTATGGCAAAAAAACCTGCTGTTGCTTAAGTTTTGCACACCAGTGTATTAATGTGTAATTATATCCACACATTATACATTGGGACAGAAAAAATCCCATTATTATACATTAATATCTATATATAATGCGTGTAAAAACATGTTTTAGTTATATCTCTTGCATAGCATACTTGCTGGTCTGTTCGCAAGTCCCACGTTCTTCCTTTCGCCCTCTTTCACTTCACCAGTCTCCCTCAACTGGTTTCCTGAGTCGCTATGTCACTTCCCTTATCAGTCTCTCGCCCCTCGCGGATAAAAAAAAGTTCTCCAAAAGTGTTTTGCTAAGGGAACTTCACAAGGCTAATCTAAATTTTTAAAATTTTATTCTCTGTTTATAAATTGATGAAAAGGAAGATCTCTTCTGGAAGGTAATTAACTTCAGTACAGATGTTTGATTCGAAGAAGTTGATTGTGGATTCTGTTATTTAATAGTTTTTTTTTTAAATGTTTGAATCCCAGAGATTTAATTTTATTGTGTTTTAATGTGAAATCTGCTCTTTTTTAATAAAGTATGTTATATATATATATTATCAAAAATATATAAATTTAAACAGTTAATTTCTTTCTGAGTGAAATTAGTTGTATTAATGATGAAGCTAGAAGGATAAATATTGTGGTCTTCTATTTTCTCAAAATTATTTTTAGCAGTCATACCATCAATGTATCTAAAAATTTTAATAATTTTTATCAATTTGATTAAGAGATTTTTGGAAATTAAATTCCTTTGTAAGAAGCTAAAGGTTACAAATATGTGTTTAATAGTTAAAACCCATAGGAATTCTATTTATTTGTTGAAAATAATAACATTTTTATGTTTTATAGTTATCTACTATCCTTCATTATGCATCAAATAACTTGCAGTTCTTCCTAGAATTCAATATTTGTTGTATTTGTGTTTCTGTAATAACTGGTACTTGCCTAAACACAGTCAGTATTGCAGTGAGGTATGTTTTCAACATCAGCAGCTTGATGGAAGATGTTCTTTTCAATTTCTTTTGTGTATTGTTTGCTAATTGCATCCGAGTATATTATTTTCTGCAGCTTGGTTCTTTCTCCTTAAAAAGACTGTTAAATAAGAAAGCGAGTAATTTATTTTGAATTATCTCCCAGTTCTTAATTAAGATTTATTTTTGGCTGTTGTTGATATTATATGTCCGTCATATGTTTTTCCAGCCTGCACAGTTCCATAGTATAAGATAGAAGACAGTCATATTTTTTTGTCAAAATATTACTTGTCTGAAACAATGTATTACTTCTGCTACATTTCTTGGTGAATTAAAAAAAAAGTATAATGCTAAATACAGTAGAAATTAACATGAGGTTGAAGAATTTTCTAAAGAGAAAATTTGAGCTGAGCTCTCCTCCTTCCCCCCAAAAAAATAATGATTTAAAGTTGGTCTAATAACTGGACACTCCTAATTGGTCTAAAACTGATGTTGTAATAAAGAAAGTGAAGCTATTCTCACCTTGCCTTAGGAGGAAAAAGAGAGAGAACATTAATGAGCGAAAAAAAATCTCATCTTTGTAGAAGAATACAAAACATCAATTTCAGCATCTAGAGAAGATAAACATTTGCAGAATCAAAAGTCGGTGGTGGTAGTTTTTTTTTGGGGGGGGCAGACTGGCAGTTACTAAGAAAATTTAATTCTATGTTCTTTAATATTACTGCTTCGTCTTAATTTCTTTTATTATACCAGGTTAAGTCAAAATGAATATGGTGGTTACAAATGGCTATAACTATTTAATGGAAAAGAATTTATCAATAAAAGTAACACAGAATGTAGACGGAACTACAGTCAAAAGTCGTTAATCCGGACTCGTCGGGACTTCGGCGATTCAGGATTATCGATTTTTCCGGATTATAGATCATCAGTTTAAATCTCGTAAGATGGCATGCAAGAAATTATAAAATTAAAAATATGAAACCGTAAATTTTTATGAAATAAAGAACAATTATGATCTAAAGGGTAACAAAATTTACAAAAAAAAAAAGCTTAATATTTATTTGTTTACTTTATTAAACATTTCTATCAATGTAAGTTGTTTAAGTTGTTTCATTTTATGTGATAATACTTTCTCTTTAATTCTATAAACAGACATAATTTCTTGTTCAGTTACAAAGTTCCGCTGTTCAAGTCCTATAATTGCGGTGTCGAGAATATCGACTAATTTGTCAATCGAAATTGTTTCGTTTTCGGTAACGTCTGTGTCACTTTCTTCACTATCGGAAGCGATATTTTCTGCATCTAGAACCATACTACATATTTCGCTGTCCGTTAATTGATTGATGATTGGTGCATTGTCATCGCAATGAAAAACTTCTCTTATATCATCTTCATATATTACCGCTTCTCCACATTTTTTTACAAAATCAAATAACTGAAAAATTTCACCTTTAGTTTGCGATGTCCGAAAACCTTCAAATTTGCCGCTATCATCTTCATCCTCCTCACCATGAAATATGGTAGATAGCCATAAATTATGCCAAGCATTTTTTAACGTACTTGAAGACACATCCTCCCACGATCTTGCGATGCTTCACACGGCAGATTTTATGCTAAAAGATTTCAAAAATTCTTAAATAGTCTTGCCACTGTTCAAGAAATTTAACATAGATTTCAAAAAATGCTGTTTTATATTTGCATTTCAGCGCGTGCACTATTCCCATATCCATAGGCTGAATGATAGACGTACAATTTGGAGGGAAGAATAACACAGATACGTTATCTTTCACTAAAACGTTAAGTGAAGTATGCGCCGAACAGTTATCAACAATCAGAACTATTTTTGAGTCATCAGGTAAACCAACTGAATTCAAATGTCGCCGAGCCTCGGGGTATAAAATAATTTTCAAACCAATCATTCGTCAACACTTGTGTCATCCATGCTCTTTTATTTGAGCGATATATAACAGGGAAAATCGTTACTCCTTTAAACGGTCGAGGTCGTGCATGTTTTCCGATTACGAAAAGTTTGCACTTGTGCGTTCCTGCAGCATTTGCGCACGCTAAAATTGATAATCTCGCTTTGGAATCTTTGACACCAGTTGGAGCCTTTTCCGTAGAGGTTGCCAAGGTATTTCACGGTACATATTGCCAGAAAAGACCAGTTTCATCAGCATTGTAAATTTGTTCTGCACATAATTGTTAACTAGTAATGAATTCGATGAATTCATCTGCAAATTGTTCAGCAGCTTCAGTATCAGCTGAAGATTTTTCACCAGAAATTTTTAATTGTCTTATACCATGGCGATTTTTAAATTTTGTTAACCAACCTGTCGAATATGTGCACTCTCCGTTTAAGTTCATTTCTACATGAAATATTTTGGCTTGAGCCATTACCATTGGACCCGTCAATGGCACGCCCTCGCTGCGACGCTGTCTGATCCATTCAATCATCACTCTGTTCATGATCGTCACTTTTAACATAACGAACCCTTTTTTCTGTTACTCATTGCAAGTGGGGTGTCGGGAATCCACAAAAAAATCAAAAAGTTCCTTTTTTTTTCTTTTGCTTATGTCATATACAGTTGACTTTCCAATGTTATATTCCTTGCATAACTTTGAGACAGGTATGCCTTTATCCAATTTTTGCAGCAGTTCCACTTTTTGTTTGATGGACATGGAAACATACTTTCGTTTTGTAGATCCTTTGGAAATTCCAGCTTCGGAAATTCTTTTGACATAATCGAAAGTTCAAGTTTACTACTTTTATAAAATTGCTCTCTAACAGTCTGCAAAAAATAATAAGCGGGATCCAATTCGAAAATTAAGAAACAACGCAATCATTAACATTAACTGAAATAGATAATTAGATCATTTTAGCTTACAATGTCCGTTATACATTAAACGCGAAGGCGAAAACGTATTCTGCACCTGTGCGCACGCATATGCTCAGTCATCCCGGTCTTACGCGCACGTGTAAAATGCCTGTGCGCATGCGCAGAAAGTTTTTAGCTTTGAGGGTCCGGACTTTTGACTGTACAAAATTTCTTCACATAAGGTGCAGTGAAGTGGAGACTTATGCATGCGAGTTGAAACTTCGCAACGACGAGAAACCTGTTCATTGCGGACATCTGTATCGTCCTTTTTTCTTTAGTGAGTGAAGTGTGACATCAAATCTTTACCTAGACATGTTTGAGGTATGGTTAATGCCACAGCTAGACTCTTAATTCCACGGATTAAATCTTTCAGCAAGATGGAGCACTCCTACACTGGAGTATGAGGTTCGTGCATTTTTAAGTCAATATCTTCCAAAGCTTTGGATCGATGAAAGTGGAGCTGCCGACAAAGTCTTCTACTCTTGGCCACCAAGATCCCCGAATTTGATACCCTGTTTTTCTCTTTTTCGTTCCCTTATGGGGATATGTGAAAGACAGGGTGTTTTGCCTTCCATACCCAAAACTATTGAAGAACTCAAAGTACGCATTTGTAATGTGCTTGCATTGGTGACTGAACAAATGCTTCAGAATATATGGCGTGAAATGGACTATCGCCTAGATGTTGTCCGTGTGACCAAGGGAAGTCACATAGAACATCTATGACGTATGTATACAAAATTTTGAAGTTCCCTCTACATTATGTGTTAATCTTAAAAGATAAATTTGTTTTCAATAAATAGTTATAGCCATTTGTAATCGCTATATTCATTTTGACTTACCCTGCATTTCAAATCATTCAGCTCGCTACTGAAATAATCTGATAAACCATGTATTTATAACCTGTTCTAATGAGGATATGAAAGTATTATTTACAGGGCTGAATTTCTAAGACATTGTGAGTTAACATTAAAGAAATTATTTTACATTTTAAAATTTTCAATCAGTTGAAAATAGCTAACTTCTTTGTGTTTGATATGACTTGAAGTTAACAATGTTAATTATCTGGTAATCAGAACATAAAATGTTTATTGTTGCATTAAAATGTTTGTCTGCTAATCAAAATTTCTATGATTTTATTCTTCTTTGTATAAATTATTTGCTTTAAAGATATTTCTAATACTTTTTTTATATAATACTTTTTTTATATATCTACTCACTTTTTTCTCGTTATGATACATTTTTTTTTTTTTTTTCCCCTCCCTGTTCAGAGCCCTGTTATACTCGGAAATAAAATTGAAATGGAAATAACAAAACTGATAGAAGAAAACAAGACATTATTGAGGTTAGGATTGTGTTTTGATGTTCCTGATGCTCGAGTTAGAATTACTGAACACTTGCAGAAGAACAATGATCGCAGTAAGTGTAAAATTTCAGTGCTTGTTAAATATATGTATGGAATAATGGTGAACTTTACCTGTTATATATTTGACTGTGAAATATTATTAGTTTGTAACTGTGAACAATCATATGGCTTAGATTGTTTATGTCAGGTAGAACTGTGCTTTTGCTTCATGACTTTATTTTCATTCTGTATTGCTAGTGTATAAGATACATCAGCATATATAAAATATATCCCATTTTCTGAATATATTTTTTCTGGGAGGGGGATATTATTTCATTTCTAATGTACATTTTAGAATAAAAGTGCTATGAATTACTTCAACTCTTGTAATAAGAACTTATTTCTATGCAGTCCCACCATAATCATGCCAAAGAAAAAATACTGTATGTGTAACAGCAATATTTTGTTTGATTGAAATTGTATAATGGGCTTAAATTAGTAATGGCCTGATATCTAATTGGTATATAAGATGCATGCTGTTTTAAGATAGTATTATTTTGGAAAATGGAATGTCTTATATGCCGACAAATAAAGTAGGTATGTTTTGAATTTAGGTTTGCTGTCCATCTCTTTTTTTTTTTTTTTTTTTTTTTTTTTTTTTTTTTTTTTTAATTTTTAACAAAGTTACCTTCAAGCAGTGAGTATCTCAGATAATCTCTAACATGTAAAAGAAACACTAGGTGTTTTGAAAAGAATATTTCTGTGTAAAAATTAACAGAAATCAAATTTAATATGACATTAGTTATATGAAAACTGAAACTCAAAAAATAACTTATTCCTCTTGAATTAATCTTTTTTCATCAAAAGCAAAATGAATATTAAATATTGACTCCTACCATACCTAACTTTTGACATTCAAATTATTTATAGTTATGCGTAGCTTAGTATTATAATAAAATTCTTATTACCTCTTCTCTTTATTGTAATGCAGAAGAACATTTAAAGGTTAAATTTACACTATTTGCAGAATCAGTAAATTAATTTATGAAATATTGAATAATATTAAAACAAAACATTGCGTATTAAACAACTTTTATGAAATAAAAAGAAAAGTCGGCATGTCCAGCTAGTGGAAAACTGTGGCCTTCAAAATACAGCTGATGAAGGTTGTTCGTCTGTGGCTATAATGTGATATGTGTATGTATGCCTGTATTGGCTATTGTCACATGTACTCAAAACTACTACAAAGGTATAGCAGATGTTAAAACAGGAGTGCAGATAATTAGAAAATTCTTCCCCTTAAATATTTGTTAGATTTATATGTGTTGTTAAGAATTGGTTATTTTTACTTTTATTGTGAAAGTTCTGCTAAAATAAATTATGTCCGAGTGAAATTATTATTTCAGTGAAGGTCTAAGTACACAATTTTAGTGTTTAAAAAAATGAATCATATGATCCTAGAGGAAAAATGAAATGAGATTATAATCCTACAATAAGCTTAATACAGTTCAGCCAGATTGCAAGGTTTTGTTCCTATCATATTCCATGCAATCATTATTATTATTATTATTATTATTATTTTTTTTTTTTTTGTTTTTTTTTTTTTTTTTTTTTTTTTTTTTTTTTTTTTTTTTTTTTTTTTTTTTTTTTTTTTTGTTTTTTTTTTTTTTTTTGTTTTTTTTTAAAGAAGACTTCCATAGACATTTTGTTATCTAAGTGTATGCACCATAGCAGAATGGACAAAATTTGTCTGTTGATTTACAATCAGGTGGGTGTATCACATGAGCCAAAGGTAAATGTAGTGTAGATCAAATGTTGTTAAATATAGGGTAGATCAACTGTTGTTATAGATGTCACCTGATAGGTCCCCTGTTATGAGAATGTGTTTTTTAGTATTTTGGGTTATGGTGAGTAATTGAGGATCTAAGTAAACTTTATTTTGATACTTGTTTTTTTAGTAATTTTTAAAGCTTGAGGAGTTCATTACATAGTTATAGAGATTCAAATAAATCATCATTTGCTGTACTTGAAACAAAGTAAAATAAATAATACAACTATAATGTAATTAAATGTTGACATAATTTTAAAGTCTGGTATATTTTACATTCTGTATTTTTCATTTTTAAGTGTACCAAAATCAATTTCTAAATAAAATAACATTGTGGAAGAAAAGCAGCTATATAAGCAATGATAAAAATATCTATGAAACTTTTTTTAGTTCCTAAATTCTAAATTTTTAGCAGATTTAGTATTAATTTCATAGGTTTATCTTTTCATTGAAATTTTTAGTCTTTTATATATATTTTTTCTATTTCAGTTCGTCTGCGGAGAATTGGACTTGAGCCTTAATTGAAGTATGTTGAGGATTTAGTATCAAGGAGGGCAGTAAAATATAAAATTTACTGTCATTGCAATTTTTTCATTATGCTTTTTACTTGTACAGTAGTTATTGAATGTTTCAAGATCTTTTGCTCTTGTGTAACAGGACAGATTATCTTTTAGTTATCGTATTGTGTTCCTATAAAATATCCCATATTTTGATAATCACGTTAAAGTGATTTATTTCATCTTCTGTGAACTTGATTGCTGTGTTGTTTGCAAAATCTCTGCAAAGGTTTTTTATAGTTGTTAGATAATATGGGCAAAATCCAAATGGCTATGGTATGAAATGATTTTAGTATGTGCAGGTACATGTAGTTTCAATATCAGTGTCTTTGCTTTTGCATGAACTTCAATCATTTCATAATATAACCTTGGTTTGTTTCATAAAATTTTGCTCCTTTTTTAGCTTCCTTTACATTTTTTGTCACATGAAAGTCAAACTTTTAAATTACAGGCTAACAAGGTACTTGCATCTAAATGTATATACCATTTGATATCTAAAGTGTATAGAATAAAATTCTGTTTTTGTATAATCAGGATTTGTGTGAATGAAAAGTTTCTAGCTTATATGTTAATGCAAAATTATTATCCAGCCCAAACTTTTGGCTTGTATGAAAACAATGAAATTCTTTTCAGTATTGATATTTCAAGTAGGATCGGCTCTTTCAAGAGCAACAATTTTATATAGCTGTGAAATTTTTCTAACAAAACTGATTGCGTTAATTAAGTAAATTTTAAACTGCGTTTGAAAACTTCTCATCTTGTGATTTATGAAAGTTTTATTAAAGGAATGGTTTTAAAATAGTATGCTATAATTAGTTAATGCATGAATATCTTGGAAGATAATATAATTTCTGTTAATAATTATAAAAAAATTATTTTTTAAAAATATTGATGCCTTAAATGACAGATTTTATAAAAGAATTACTTATTCATATAATAAGAAATTATTCAGCTTTTTAATAATAAATATGTTTAAATTGCTTCCTATCTTATTGTACGTGAAGCTCTATATAAGTAAAAAAAAAATATGTTTTTGTTTTTAGATAATACTTTTTATAGAAAATTTCACATTATTTAATGTTACTTTCATCTATTACTTTCATTTTAAATTGTCATGCTTGTTCAGGCTCGTTTTTGAAACATTCTTTCTTACCGGTGATGCCTTTTTATTTTTGCGAAATACATTTAAATTTTCAGAAGTGTGTGCTGTGTATAGCTCAATTGATGTGTGTCTTTGTTGCTTACTATCCTTTTGGTAATTTCTCATGTTAAAAGAAAATAAAATTATATGTAAAATAATTTAATTGATAGTGAATGATCAGATTGATAATAAAGAGTGTGAGGTAATACATAAATTTATTTAGTAAATTTACATTGCACATCTGTGCTTAATTTAATGTTATTGACTCAGTAAAGAAATAATTTGAAAATGTTTAAAATATGTGTAAAAATCAGATTTATGTATCTTGTATACATATTTATCATTTTCACTATTAAAATTTTTATGAAAACTATTATTTAAATCTTACAGTGCATAAATTTTTCTGGAACTGTGAATAAATTTTAATAATTTTTCACAATATGAATTGCAAACAGATCATCTGCTTAATATATTTTATTAGCAAACTTATTATTTTAAAATGTGAAACACTTTAATAATGTGAATTTGAAATAACTTCACTCATCTAAAATTATTTATTACCATCATAAGATAAAATGCACAAACATTTAATTTTTTTATGTATAATATTTTATTCTTCATATATTTTCTCCATTCTATTTTGTTCTTGAAAAATGTTTTTCTGTAATTTTTTATATTGTTCATATTTATATGGAACTAATAATAAAACTATATTAAATGGAATAATTTAATATTTTGTTGAAATTTTTAATATGATGATAGCTATGAATGATGAATAGTGAAGAGTTCTAAGTTTTAAAATTGCTCCAGGTTGCTCATATGCAGATGTGAGCATTAAAGATAACTGAATTTCATGATTGCATACTTTAATGTCACTTGTGTTGTGTGAGAAAAATATTTGTTACCATTAAAATATCTTTTACTTGCCATTAGAATGTTTCATTGCCTTCAGATCACAGAAAATGTGTATGTGTGCTAAAGCTTTAATACACTGCCATTTTAATATTGTATATCATTTCAAGTAAAATATATTAATGTTTCCTAGCTCTTTGTGAAATTGTCAAAGCAGGTTTAATAAAAGATTATAAATTAAATATGTGTTTTTTTTTATTTATTTAATTATTGTTATTTACATATAATTGTGTGCTAATGGCTCATATAAACTTCAATAGATTGTGTAGTTCTGCTTAATGTATGCAGTCCTCTAACATATACAAAATTGTCAAAACTTTAACATAATAAACTTATTAAACACATAAAAGTGGTTATTACCCCCAAAGTTATGCAACTTGCACAAACATGTTGAACTGTGTCATGACAATAGTAGTTAATCATTAATTTCATCCTTTCTTAATGTAATATATTTTGTCCTATATAAAGAATGGTGTATCATAATGAACAAAGTAAGGTTTCATATAAGCAGTTGTGATAGATCTCTCATTAATGGTTCATGACACATTTAAACCTATTATATAAAGATTTTGATTTCCTGTTTGATCATCTAGTAATGTTAATATTAAGAGTTGCACTGAAACAAATCATTTTTATTTTTAAGATTATTGCAGTCAGTTGCATTTATTTAAGCTTATAGTTTAGTCTATCTATCTACACTAGGCATGTCAGACTCTTGGCTCACTCCTAGAAAATAATGAAAAATGTGTAACTGTAGTATGTGAATAAAAATTGGAATTCCACCAAATATTGAAGTGTATGTACAACCTTAGATGCTAAGTATATTCTTGAGATGTGTTTATAAAAATATTTTCTTGACTGACGATGACAAAATACGAGCTCATTTGCAGATGTAAATAACAGAAATTCAGTGAAGTGGGTATGTCTAAATTTTACAAGTACTTACCTGTGTGCCGAAAAGTCACAAATTTGCATCCTATGCGATTGCCATGTTCAGTAATTAGTACACTGCAAAAAAAAAGTACTGAGAAGCCAATGTCAAACGATGGACATTTAAACAGTATTCAACCTCTGTCAACTTTCAAATTCCTTCTTAACTATATATAACAATCATATATCCAGATAAAAGAAGATCGCAAACAAAAAAAAAAAAAAAAATGAAAGGTATCAGATTTTAAGTCCAAAGAGGCTTTTTTTTTTTTTAACGTTTAGTGTGTTAGTTGAGATTGCAAGGAGATTGCAAGGAGAAAACCAGCATCTTCCTGATTTATCCACTAATATCAAATCATTCCGGAAGAAATTGATACTGTTTCAATCACAACTACGAAGTAAAGTTTTTCACATTTTAAAACATGTGAAATATTCAGCCACACCACTGAGACTGAGTTTCCTATCGATTTTGCAATCGAAACTTTGAGTGCTTTGAAAATAAATTTTGATACTCGTTTCTCGGACTTTGATGCCATTGCGAATCAAATTAAGATTTTTCAGAATCCTTTTGATACTGACATTGAAACCCTAGCCCCGGAACTTCAAATGGAAATGATTGATCTACAGTGCAGTGATATAATTAAGAACAAATATCAAAACTCATCTTTGTTGGAATTTTATAAGAGTCTTCCACTGACACAATTTGATAATTTGCATAAATTTGCTCGTGGGCTGTTTTCTGTTTTTGGTACTACTTATTTGTGTGAGAAGACCTTCTCCAAAATGAAGTACACAAAAAATGTTTACAGATCTAAATTAACTGATGAGCATCTTAAATCTCTCTTTTAATAATTGGTACAAGTAAAATTAGTCCACAACTACAAACTATTGTCAGTGGAAAATCTCAATTACATAAATCTCATTAGTATTTCATATGTCATTATGCTTGTTATAAGTTATGTTTTTATTTAAAATGTATAAAAAATGTTAGTTGGATTCATTTCAATAATTTGTTAGTTATTATATACTGAAGTTAAATTTTCTGCATATTATACATGTCTTTACTCATTACAATTCTGTGTTTCTTTATCCAACTTATCACAAAAACAATAACAATAAGCCTACAACAATGTTATGAGTAGTTAGCCCATGACCATATCAATGTAGATGTCATATTAATAATTATTCAGCATAAAATTAGAATATTTCAGTAAACTAAATTTAATTTGCTATAAAAAATATGTTCTCTAAAAGGAGTTTTCAAGTATGCTAGCTCTCCGCGGGCCGGACAAAATCTGTCCGCGGGCCGGATGGGGCCCTCGGGCCGTAGTTTGGAGACCCCTGACCTAGACGGTAGAGTTCTGATTAAATTAAATCTAATTTAACGTTATAAAAAGAGAACTGAATCCAGTGAATACGAGCGTAATTTAAATGCTATTCAATCTGCTGTGGTTGATTTTAGGAATAAAAGAGAACCAAACCATTTGAACATTTTGGGAATGCTGTGCCACTGGATACTGTCATTTTTGGATCATCCAAAAATGAAACCACCTCAATTCTCACTACAACTTAAATATGACAAAATAACGAAAAGGCGAAAGAAGCTCCGTGTAGTTATAACTTCTCTTGAATATATACTAAATCTGGAGGAGAAAAAAGCAAAGAAGGTTCGAGAAGGAAAAGAAAGGATTTGCAAAATAGCATTTGAGACGAAAAAAGTCGGTAAAATTCCGTCTGAGTTTTTTCCCTTTTATTTGGAGCTTATCCGTCTGAGGAATGAAAAGAAGAAATGCATTTATATATGACGGCAGTGGAATCTGTTCAAGAATAATTAGCGAAGGAAAAGTACGGAAGGGAAATTTGTATTTTTAATTATTTTTTAGAAGGAAAATACTGCAAAAAAAAAATAATAATAATAATCAATTCTGATATCGAAGATTCAAGAAAAAAGACCATTGCTGAAATGGAAAACTGGATTTATACAGAATGGAATTTTTGCTGAGAGTCGTCCAATAAGAAAAAGAGTTAATGAAAAAATGTAAAGTTAAACAAGAAGATGAATATTATAAATAATGTTAATATAAGTCAGGTACTGGCTACTCATGGGCGTTTCCCGGCTTATTTTAATCGGTTTCATCTACAGAATAATGACAAATGCTTAATTTGTGATAAGTTTGGATACGCCAGGCACTTTGTCGATGAATGTACGCTTACCCGGAGTGCAAGGAAGAAATATAGAAAGAATTTTAAGGAAGATTTTAAAAGAAACTATTTAAATTTGAAATATTTTGCAGAGACAATAATGAAGATTATAAGTACGAACAAAGATAGATTTGGAATTCGGCACTGAGCCTCAGATTTTGGACTTTATATGTTTTTTCTTATATTTGTGTTTTCTGGCCAGTGCCATTTTTTGATTATACGGCCGGCTAGGAGGATCGGGGCTGTGCCCTTATAATGATAATGATAACAATGATAATGATAGTGTGAGATTCAAGAATCAACGACAATATGAGATATTTGACAACGATATATTCAGAGACGGAAAACAGCCAAAAATTATGATTTTATTATCATAAAAATTCAGTGGTATTGCAACCATAACTCGGAATAAAAATCATTAACTAAAGTACATTATTCGTTAAAAAAATAAGAAGAAGAATATGATTGTAATCTATTCAGTTCTGAAAGTTTTTTTTTATAAAATACGTATTTTGTTACATCAGTTCAGTTTTTATCTAGCTTCCGTACACTTCAGCAATTATATGAATGGAAAAATCCATAGGAAATATAAATTGAGTGGCCAGTTTCAGATGGTTGCATTACATCAGCATAAAAAACTTAATATATCTATTATTGGAATAAGAAATTAAATTTTATTTTTGTAAAATTTTCAGCATTTTCATGAATTTGTATGATTATAATAAATAAGAGTTTGAAATGGGTTCAAAAATGCGTTAATGCTAAAATTTTCAAAAAATTCGATGGCAATTGATTGGATACCTTTCAATGGCTCTTGTTTATCTTATGTGGAGGTTTTCAGTCAGTATCTGAATGCAAATGACGATACTCACAAGAAAAATAAAATTTGCAATCAGCTAATTCTAAGGTATAATAGAAATATTTATTTTAATTATAACACTCGAGATATAAAATAACACTTGTTATAAAACATTGTTCAGAAGCCCACGAAAAATGAATTTTTGAATGATTAACTATTTTGTATTATGCAGAGCATTTATGTAACTGACGATAAATGTAAATATTATGCATCGACAGTTGCAAAAGCGTCGGTTTATTGCGGGTGCATGTATTTTATTACAAAGTGAAAACAGCTAAAATCCCAATGAGTCTTTCGAGATATTAAAAAAAAATGACATAAAAAGTATTTTAACTTTCAAAAAGCTTAACTTTTGATAAGCCATCCTTTTGCTTTCATAATATATTCAGCTGGAATGACATTGATTGAACTTTTTCTGTAATTTTTATCCCAGTAGTTCCATCGCGCTTTCATCCCTCTAGTTGCATCGCTTGTTTCACTTCAAATTTTGATGAAATGACATGATTCTTTATCCACACCACCAGATATATTCAAATGGAGTCAAGTCGGGAGATTAGAGATAGCAACTGCAGAATTTAAATTTGCCTCTGAAACCGAACTATTGGCTAATGATCTGGAATTTTCTTTTAAATATAAGAATACTTTAAATGATTACTTCCATTTCCAGAAGGAACAGTTAGTGTATGCCTACTGCAGGTATATAACTACATAACTCCTCTTTACTACCATGCTTTATTGCCAGAATCAAATTCATTGAATTTCGTTCCTCTTTCTTCGCCAGGTAGTTACGATACCATTTACGACAGGGCTAACGTCTCAATTATACTTTATCTCATTTATACGACTATCTGGGTTAAGGCTGATTGTTCCAAGTATGGTAAGAGGAATATGAAAACAATGCTTGAGCTTCCTTGCTTACGTTACGCACTTTGAAGTACACTCTAAATTATGCTTCGCAGAAGCTCTGTCTTTGAAATTAACTCTGGCAAAAAGAACCTTCCATTGTATCATGTTATACTTCACAGTGTCAGACGATCTTAGAAGTGTTTGAACAGCTTAGGAAATTTGTGTTCAATTTGTCCCATCAAAATCCATTGGCCTTCAAATGTGTACTGTTTAGTTAGTTTACATCAGAAGAGGGAATTTGTAGAATATCACAAAAGTCACAATCGCGAGGCCTCGCATTCCAAG